AATCTTGAGAAATATGAAATGAAATTCTCATTATCATTTCATCATCACTGCAAAAAAAACTACATAAAGTTACTCGTCTTCCTTCTTATCTTCTTCTATTCAGATTTTAATCTTAATTCATATTTTCATATATGAAAGTAATAAAGATATCATAGTGGCCATCCATATAGTTTTTTTACAGAAAGTTTTCCGAAAACTCTAAAAAAATTTGCTAGCAATTGTTTATAGCGAAATTTTCAACAAAAAATAAAAATTCACATAATTTAAATAACAATCAAAAAAGAAAAAACAATAACCGTTTAAAAAAACAACTCTTTCGGTTCGGTTTCGGTTGGTTTGGTCAAATGAAAAAAAAAACGAAAATCAACTCAACAAGCGCGAAAGAAAATCAGGAAAAATAATAAAAATTTTGAATTGAAAAAATTTTCATTTTTGCATGCTGCTTTTTTCTTCGCTGTTTATTTGCCTAACAAATTGAATCTAGATCATCATCATCATCATTGAAAATACCAAACAAAAAACGGATTCGTTTTTGTTTCATTCAATTTTGAATGGAATGTTCTTTTTTTCACTTTCTCCACACATGATGGATGTGTGTATTGTTTGTTTTGCTTTGCTTTGTTTTTGTTTTTTGTTTCGGTTTGATTTTACACCAGAAAAGGGGAAAAAGGAAATCCGGTAAAGTTTTGCATTGTTGTTTCGAGAAATTTTTTCGGGAAAAAAAAATTTCCGAAAAATTTTCTTGGTGATCATTTTATCATTTCAAACAAAAAATTTATTAATCCCCTGATAGTTACACAAGTGTTTACGATATTTATAGATCAAAAAATCAAAAATCAAATCGAAAAAAATGCTTAGTTAACCCGGTCACCAGGGATAATCATCATCATAAATATAATCCTCGAATAGAAATATTTTAGATATGATAATTATAATGTAGTGAAATAATAAACTAAAAACAAAACTGATCTGATAAAAAATGAATTTTCAATTCAAACTTTCTCTCGTCTCTTCGTCCCGAAAACATAATGAAAATTCAATTATCAATCGAAACAATCTTTGAAAATGAAAAATTCATTAATATGGCCTACAGGTCAATGTTGTTGTATAATCATCAGATTGATCGAATGAATAATCAATTTCATTGAGCGAATGTGAATGAATGAATCAAGATGAAGATGAAACAAGTGAAAAGTGAAAACAAAATCTAATTTCGGACATTTTTTGATCTAGTTTTTTTTCAGTTTTCAAGTTTTAAGTGGGGGGAAAAATCGTTTAAAATAAATTTTTTATTTATTTTTAAATTTTCTGAATTTCAGATGTGAAAAAACAACAACATTATCATCATATCAAGCAAAACAAAAAAAGTAATCAATCAATTTTTCGGTTGCAAATTAAAATTAGATCGTTTGTTTTACCAGGTAAATCAGGTATTTTTATTTGTATCACTTTTTTTTATCTGTCTACTATAATTGAAAGTGATGATTTTCATTGAGGAAGAAAGTAACAACAACAACAACAACAATAATAATAATTAGCTGAAAATTGAATGTGCAAGCAAGTCAAAGAAAAAAAAGTGTCTTGTCAAAGTATGTTTTTAACACTTTTTATTCCCTTCACTTTACTTTTTCCAATTAAGATGATTGAATTCATTCATAATAAGAAGTTAGCTCAGTTTATTAGTTTGTCAGTCTCGTTTTTTTGTTCGGTTGAATATCCGATGTTTATAATGATGATGATGGGAACAAATTATCACCATTATTCGTTTTGTCATCGATTTTTTTGTTCTCAAATAATTATCTTGCATTGTTTTTGTTGTTGTTGTTACTATTTCTACCTTTGTTGTTGACAAACAATCAAACATCATCACCATTCATTCATTATTATTCACTGAATTAACTCCTGCACTAGAGATTAATAACTCCTGTGTGTAACTTTTTTAATTACATTTTCAGAAGAAAAAACTAGACAAAACGATTGTTTCATTGCAGACAAAAAACGAGAAATCAATAATGATCGATAATGTCGGTGATGATGCTGGTGTGTGTGTGAAAATCGTATCAATCATTTTGTTTTGTTTTTTTTCCGTGTTTAATCAACGGATTTAATTTTAGTTAAGCTACAATTTTTGTTTGACAACCACGATTATTGAGTTGTTTACAACTAAATTTAAAGAAATAAAAATAGTATTTGTTTATGGTAATTTTATTGATTGATCGGATCGAATTGAATTGAATTTGCTTTGATCAAAACTGACCACAAACAATCAATGTTTATTGTTTTGATTTTGTTCTGGTTTCCTTTTTCTTTGTTTTGTTTTGTTTAATTTAATCTTTATCGAAATTCATTTTTTGTCGTTTTCGTTTACTTCCTTTTTTTTAGGTTTTGATTGATTGGATTTGATTGATTGACCAATTTTTCTTCGTCGAGAACAGCAGCCACATAATAATTAATAAGTTTTTGTTTTTGTTTACATCCCTATTGTGTTATTATCATCAGTTATAGCAGAGGGAAAAATATGTGAAACATTTAATCCCATTGATTGCTTGCTTGCTTATTCACTTGAATGATTCTTTTCAAATCAATCAATCAATCAATCAGACAAACAAAAACGAAAACTAAAACAAAAAAAAAACATCTGACATTTGTAATGCGATTATCTCTTGAATGAACAAGTATGAAATTTCCGGCGTTTTAAATTTAAATTTTTTTTTTTGGATAAAAAAGAGAGCGAAGATTCGGATAGAAAGATGGCGCCACCCGTTTCAAAAAAAACATACTCTCGATTTTTTTAAAATCTTGCCGCGCAATTAATTTTACGGTTATTTTGATTTGGAAAAATTTTTTTCCTTACCAAAATTAAAGGTGAAAGTAATGTGTGTGTGTATACAGACAAACAACAACGATACAACATCCATCATCATAATGATCATTGTTGATGACAAACATTTTATCCAAATAAAAAATGATTGGCATGCCATTAGGCGCGTGGGTGTATTTGTTTTTTATGTAATGCATGTTATGCATATTAACCATGCATGACTATCATTCGGTTATTTGGTCATCATTTAGCATCGGTTTCATTTTTGAAAACAAAAAATCATTGTGTGATCCTTGTTTATTTAACGAAATTTTTTTTGATGTCCAAAATTCCTTCATTCATTCAACTTTCAAACACCGTTGATGAAAAAAATTCAATCAAACTAGATTATCACCACTACCACCACTATTTCCACTACCAGGACAGCTCAGCAGAAAAAAAATGATCATCAAGTCAGTCAGTCGGTCGATCATTCGGTTGGTCGGCTGTCAGATGATAATCATTATTCGGGTAAATACGGTGTGTGTGTGTGTAGATGTCGAAATAGAAATTAGGTCAATATATAACCAGAAAACAAACGAAAAAAATGTTTAGCTATTGGGCAAAAACAACCGACAACAAAAAATTGATAGTTTTTTTTTGTTGTTGTTGTTCTCCACACATCCATGATTGGAATTTATGGAATGAATCAAACGATCGATCGACCAAGTTGGACATCGTAGCTAGCCAAATTTTTGTTTTTCTCTAAAATAACCAATATTCAGGCCAAATCATCATTCATTCATTCAGCACTGGTTTTTTTCTCTCATTCAAAATGAAAAATTTTTAATTTAAACGAAAAGATGATGAAATATAAATGCATAAATGTAATAAGTGAGGAAAATTATTATTTAGTTATTATATTTTGAATGAGTAAATAATAACTATAGTAAAACGAAAAAAAAACCCGATAACCGAATTGTAATTAGCACAAACACACAGACGGGTAAAAGGAAAGTCTCTCTTCATTTTTATTCGGGTAAATTTCTGGTAAAGAGTTAAAGAGAGAGAGGGAGAGAAAATGGTTTTCTCTTTTGATAAAATCGGTAAAATCGCAAGAGAGAGAGAGAAGGAAAAATTGAGAAGAAAAAATTGCCAACCATTTTCTTCCATCGGGTATTATTTGAATAATTTTTTTATTTAAAAAAGATCCAAGAGAAAAAAAAAGAGCCAAAAAAGGGAGAGAGAATGATGCACAAGAACGAGAACGAAAAACAAGAGAATATATTTTTTTTTCGTTTCATTTCAAGCTTTAGTTCACACACACAGTTTAGTTTACCGAAATACCGACACACACCCATGGGTTATGTTATGTAATGTCGTTTTTCACCAAATAACAACCACCACCACCAATAATAACGGCAGTGTACAACTAGTTTACCATCCTGATGATGATGATGATGATTTAGTTGTTTTTTTTCTACAAAAAAAATATTATGACCAAGCCAGTTTAGAAATCAGTTTTTTTCACCTAAAAAAAATACCCGGTATCAGAAAAGGTAAAACCGTAAGACGATAACTTCCATCATCAACTTGAAGAAAAATTTGAAACAACGTTGCTTGCTTGCTTGCTTGCTTGGAAAACATCTTGTTTTTTTCTCTCGTTGTGCGTGTTTGTTTGTGTGAACATACGATCCTCATCACATCAGCATTTCTTCTCTTCCAAAAACAAAAAATTCAAATTCAATTCATTCATTGATCAATCGTTCACGAGTGTGTTTCATCACGGCAATATTCGGTTGATGATAATGATGATGATGATCGATTCAATTGATTGATTTTTCTTCTTCTTCTGTTTGTTTTGAATACAGCCAAGAAGAATGTGAAAAAAAATTCTCAGTGTTATTTGTTTTAATTAAAATTCTTTGATTCTTTGTTTTGAAAATATTATTATTATTTGAATTTGAATTGAACTTTATTCTGTGTTTGGTTTTGGTGTGTGCGTCTGGTCTGTGTGATGAATTTGAATTTTTTCAGATTTTTGTTTCTTCAAAAATATTCTTCCGTTTAACGTTGATTGTTTGTGAATTTTGTTTTTGTTTTTTTTCAGCCGATTTAACACCTTTTCATAAAGGTTTGTAAAGATTGATTGCCTTGGATGATGATTTTTTTAAAATTAAATTTCAATCAAATTAGGATCAACAAATCAAGAATGACAACTGAAAATAGAACGAAATTAACATTGAAAACATCGTTATCATCAACATTATCATCATTCAAATCCAAATCATCATTATCATCAGATAAAATGGCAACAACAACAAAATCCTTATTAATGACGAGGCATATGATAATATCGATATTGTTAACAATAATTATCCATTATATTCTATTGATAGAATGTAGTGGATATGGCGGCGGCGGTGGTGGAGGTGGTTATGGACATGTTGAATATGCACGACCAGTAAAAATAATAGTAAAACATATAGCCAAACATGTACCATATCCAAAACCATATCCAGTTTATAAAAAAGTATATGTACCAAAACCATATCCAATATTTAAACCATTACCGGTTGCAAAATTTGTACCAAAACATGTTATTGTACCGGTAACTAAATATGTTTATGCACCATATCCAGTATTGAAACCAATACCGGTTGCTAAACCATTTCCAGTACCAAAACCAATGCCGGTACCTGTTCCGGTTAAGGTAAGTTGAAACATTAAACATTTTTCCTGAAACAAACACATATATCAATTACTTACTTACTTATTTTGACAGTAAGCTTTCAATTATTTCAAAAATATTTTAATAAGTCTATGAAGAGAGAATAACGGTAATTTTTGTTTGTTTGTTTGATCAAAAAACTAAATTTAGATTTAGAAGCAAAACTCTGATTTGATATTTCAAACTAAACTAACTAATAATAATTTGATTCGAAAGTTATTTTTTTATCATCATCATTTTGATTTTAGTTATCTAATACTACTACCACTACTGATGATTAAAAATTTAGTTGGGTAAAAAAAAGTAGTAGTAGCTAGTTATCTAAATACCAATCTTAATCACTAATCAGGCTAATCATTAATCAGGAAAAAAAGATTACCGATTTGAATAATAATCAAAAATTTTTTCTCCACATTCAATCAAATCATTGAATAAAATCAGATCAAATCAGATGAGTGAAATGAATTTATTTTCATTTTTTTCCATATCTTCAGGCGATTTTAGATCCCTTTATCAAACTTTCGGGTTTTTTTTACGAAAACAAAAAATTTGAAGTGGAAAAAATTTTTCTTCGGGGGCAATATTTTTCGGTTTCATTTCATTCCATTGCATTCATTTCATCAATCGATTGAAAGCTGATTTGAAATGGAAAAATAAAAACTTGCCAAAAAAAACAGTGAAAAAAAAAGAAATGTTCAGTTTTTTTTCTTTTCTCATTTCGTCTTGATGGCGATGGTGGAAAATCCTCCAATGTTGTTGATGATGTATATCTATAGTGTGTGTTTGTGTCCAAAAATAGTGTCAAAAAAAATAAATAAATGAAATGAAAATAACCAAAGAAAAAAGCTTACCATTTTTTTTCTTTTTGGCTGTTGTTTATTTTCATTGATGGTTGGTTGTTTCAATCATCATCAATGCAAACAAACAAACAAAAAATTGGAAGAAAAAAATGGGAAAAAATGATGATAATGTGAATGACCAATTGTAATATTTAAAGATTCGATGATGATGACCATTACCTATTGAAAATATTGAAAATCTTCGATTAATGATTGTTTCAATTCAATTGCAAATAATCATATTTTTTTTACCTGAAATCCTTGAAATCATTATCATATTGCCAGAATAAATAAACAAACAAACAATGTTTATTTGCTTAAATATTCGATGATGATGATGATGATCACCATTTTATCCATATTATCGTCTGGTGTGATGAATGGTTTTTCATAATATATTTTCCCCATCAATGATAGTGAAAGGAATTTGTATGAATTTTTCTTTTTTCTCTTTATTCATTTTAAACAATATATCTACCTAAATGGTCATGATTATGATCATGATGATGATGATGATCTAAATATATCGTAATGTTTGAGTGTATATAGTCAACACAATTACCACATTACCATTATCATCAGTATAATGAATGAACTAACGAAAAAAACGATTACGATAATCATATTCTCTCTTCTCTCACGTTATCTTTACCGTTCGTTAGATTTGATGATGATGATGATGATGCCAACTTATCTTTGGACTGGTTGTGTTATTATGATAATCATCCGAATCATCAACAACAAACGAAATCGTCATAGTCGTCTCGTTATAATTGAAAATTGGCTGCCTACTTTGGCAAATGAAAATTATTATTATCATTTTTTTTTTGAATGAACGAAAAAAAACAACATACCTGGTTTCTAGATAATTATTAATTATATAATAGATGATTATGATGGTAGATTCAATTCGATTCGATTCGTTTTTTTTGTTTACTAAAATCAAAAAATTAAGTAAGTTTCTCACAATAATCCATTTGGATAATTTAGCAATCGAAAATACCAAAAACAAGTTAAGCCATTATTATTATTATCATCATCATTTTTTTTCGCTTAATCAGTCAGGTTATATAGTTGTTGTTATTTGGTCAATCGATTTCGATAGGTCATTCATTCATTATATGATTTAGGGAAAATCAAGTTGGTAAGAAAGAAGAAAAAAAACGAAATAAGTAAGTAGAAAAACGACGACGATGATGATGATGCTTTTTTGGATATTTCGTGTTTTGGTTTCTTGTTTATTCAACCAAAATTTGGGTCAGTCAGGCTACGATCATCATCATCATCATTGTTGTTGTTGTTGTTGTCATGAACATTTTTTTTTATTTATCTCTGGTCATTCAGATCTCTGATTTACTCTCTGAATTCACTTTTCATCATCATAATCATAATCATCAAAAAATGATGATTTTCTTTTCGAAAAAAAACATCCAAAATAATAATAATAATAATAATAATAATAATAATGATAATTCGAAAAAAATGTTTAGGTAAAATACGCCTACGGCCAATTTTTTAATTCGAATCATTTTGATCATCAAAACATTCGAATCTATTTTCACTTGATCGGTCCAATTCGGTGAATTTGATTAGGGATTTTTTTTTTGGCATTCGAATCGAATGTTTTTGGTTATTTTCATTCGAATTCATTTTCATAATTTACATAACATTATTCTTTTCTCTTTGATGCGATACTAATCTGGTTTGTCATTTATTCATTCATTTTCTTTATTCAAAAAAAAGGTACCAAAACCATATATAGTACATGTACCAAAACATGTACCAGTTGCAAAACCATATCCGGTACCAGTACCGGTAAAAGTTCCAAAACCAATTGTTGTACCTGTTATGAAACATGTACCATATCCTGTACCAAAACCTGTTCATAAAATTATACCTGTCTATAAAGAAGTACCATATATTGTTAAAAAACATGTACCAGTTTTGTAAGTATATTTTTTTTCATTCGTTTGTTTATTATGGAAAATAATAATTTCAATTTCATCATTACAGAGTCGAACATCATTATAAAGAAGTCAAAGTACCATTGAAACATTATGGTGGCTATTAAGAACAAAACAAAAAAAAAAGATACTAATTACTAAATAACAAACTATAATAATGAAGCAAACAACAAAAAAAAAATCCTCTCTTTCCAATCAATTCACATGAATGGTTGGATATGAGAGGATGATCAATCAATCAATTAAATAGTCAACTAATCATCATCATCTTTATCATCATCATCTTCATCATACTGCTGTTATACACATCATTACGTCCTGCCACTCATTATCGTTCATTATCATCATTTTTTTGCGAAATAAATTTTTGGATTTTACTCAGAATTCACTACAGAATCTAGAATAGAATGTTTGGTAAGTGTAGTGTGAATGATGATGATGATTTGATCATTGTTTCTCCTTTCCAAAAAATTTTAGAAAACCGATTCTGATTAAAACAATAATATTTGCTGCATCTCATCATTTCATCACTTCATCTCATTTTTTTCTATAAATCACATTGTTTATGGGCATAAATCTTATCGAATTATGATTAGGATGCTCATCGAATCATCATCATTATCATTTTTTTTTTCAATGAAAATCTGATTTATTCTGGATTACTCGCCATTTGAATCCACACATCATCCTTATCATCATTCGGAGAACAATCAACACCACAGACACTGTTTTGTTTTCATTTTTTTTCATTATGTTTTTTTTTGTCATTGCTTGAAATTGAAATTGTTTTGGCTTTAGATATTATTATTTACATCCATCATCCATTCATTCATTCATTCGATACAAAACAAACTGAATTTCATTTATGATGAAACACCAATTTGATCCTGATTGGTTTGGTACCTGTAGGTATCATTTTAATTTAATTTCTTTTTTCTTTTTCTTTTTTTGCTATGCTATGATATGCTTTCACATTCCATTTTTAGATTCATTCATACAGCAACAATCACTTACTATTTTCCATTCAATTCAATACCTCTTCTGTCTCTTTCGACATACCACTCACGATTATTCAACTAAAATATAAACTCTATTGAACCGTTCAATTTTACTACATACCATACCATACCCGACAAGACAATTTCGTGAATCTTCAAAAAATATTTCTTAAGAAAAATTAATCGAAAAAAACTTTGAATAGAATCAAAGTTTCATTTCAAATCTACCAGCAACTACTTAACACTTTCCCCCCGTATGTGTGATTGTCATCCATCCATCAACAACAAAACCTGGAATGATTTCTTTTTTATCATCAATTTTTTTAATCATCACTCTTTTCATTCATTCATTTTCATTTTCATCCAAACAATTCATTCATAATTGTGTGTCGTAATCCAAACAACACTATCCAATTTTGTTCTGTTAAATGTTGATTTTTATTATTAATTTTTTTATTTTATTTTTTATTTTGAAAATATTTTACTTTAAATCAATTAATTAATTAATGACAATACAAATGTCCAACAATTGTTTAGTAGAAAAAAATTCAATACCACAAAACCACACACAAACATTACATATAAAAATGATTATTCGATTTGGTTTATCTCTTTTTTTCTTTCTTTGTCAATTTTTTGCTGTAATTTGTAATCTATCATCGATTATAGTCTGAATATTATTACTGAATAATATTAATGATTTTTTTTCCTAAAATTGTGTATGCAATCGATCAAAAATATTTAACGCAATTACAATTTGTACAGCGATAATTTGTATCATTTTCAGTGATGGCAAAACGTTTAATCCAATCATGTTCAGCAGCTTCCTTTAATTGCATTCGTTTTTTCGGTTGCAAAACTAATAATTTGGATATAAAATCTTTAGCTAAATCACCCATATATTCTGGAAAAGTAAATTGTAATGTAGTAATACGCTCATATGTTTTTTGTTGATCATTCGATTCGAATGGTGGACGGCCACAAAGAAATTCATATGTCAATACACCTAAACACCATATATCAACATTATGATCATATGAATGTCGTTGAACAATTTCAGGTGGAAGATAATCGATTGTACCGCACATTGTTTGTCGTCGTTGTGATAATGTATGTACTGACCAACCAAAATCGGATATTTTCAATTCACCATGATAACCAAGTAAAATATTTTCCGGTTTTATATCACGATGAATGACTTTATTTTTATGACAGAATTTCAATGCAGTAATCATTTGTAGGATGTACTGTATGGGGAAAAAATAATTGAAAATTTAGTGTTTTTTGTTTTCAATCAAAATCAAACTTACGGTAGCAGATTTTTGATCATCAAATCTTCCCGCTCGTTTCAATCTTTCATACAATTCACCACGTGGTGCATATTCAAGCACAAGAAATATACGTTGTTCATCATAAAAATAATCATATAAACGTAATATATTTGGATGTCGTAAACGCATTTGAATTTCAATTTCACGACGTAATTGATGTGACATATTATCTTTAAGTAACTGTTCTTTGAACAATGTTTTCAATGCAACAATGAAATGTTCTTTTCGGGTTCGTGCCAGATAAACACGGCCAAATTTTCCACGGCCAAGTGGTTTACCAATTTCATAATCATCAAGTGTAAGTTTCGATTGATGATTATAAACATCACCTTTGTTGGTGGTTGGTTTGATTGATGACATTTTTTTGTAGTGAAAACAAATTAAAAAATTCTGTTCGGTTTATATTCAAAATCTAAAATGGCGATTTAGTCAAGTTTATTTAATAAATGACAAATAGTATGGTGAACCGAAAGAATAATTATAAACAAATCGAAAAAACACCGAACACTGTTGAAAAGCGCCAAATTTAACCGTCTTTTTCATTTTACAAACATGTTCGATTCGAATTGATAACGGCAAAACGATAAGTTAGTATAAGCCCAAAAAAAGGTAGAAGCATTAGCCAACGTTAAGTATAGTTATTGAACACCAGTTTTGACTTGACCATTCCACCTATGTATTAATAGGCCAAATTCAAATATTTGAATTTTTTTTCTTTTTGAAAATCATTTAAAATAAAAAAAATTGGATTAAAAACAGAAATTATGATGTGTGTCTGCCAGGTATCGAACCTGGGACCTTCTGCGAACTATTTTTTTTATTCATGAAAAATAACCGGATATTATCATCATGTTAGGCAGACGCGATAACCACTACGCCACAGACACAATCGGATGAAACCGAGAATCAAAATAAAAACCAAATAAACATCGATCAATCAATCAATCAATAATCAACAAGTTGAAGAATAAAATCGGAATTTAAAATCAAAACAACAACAAAAATGAATTTAAAAAAAAAGTAATTTTATTTTATTCAATTAGAAAAAAATGTTAATTATAAATCCACAATCCAAATCAATCATTCAATATTTCTACTGTTTTTTTTTTGTTCTTCAATTTATTTATTTTAATAATTATTAATGGTCATACCATTGAAAATCCCAAAACAAAACTCACTCCAAAACACCAAACCTACCTTTGATGTTGTCAAATAGGAGAAAAAATCAATAAGAATTCAATTTCGTTTTTCATCGTTTGTTCATTAGCAGTGTTTTTTATTTCTTCTTGGTAGAATCACAATTATCACCACTACCACCACCACCATCAAGATCGTCCATACCCAATGAATCATGATAATGGGATTGAATCTGTAACAAATGTTCCTGATGATCGATACTTTTTTCATAATTTTTTAGCTAAACAAACAAACAAAACAAAAACAAAAACAACGCATCAACAATGAATTTGAACATGAAACAAAGCAAAAATGAAAAAAAAACGAAAATGATACCATATCCCATAATATTGTATTGTATGGCATTAATGTTATGGCCAATTGAAATAATTTATGTGCATTTAGATGATCACTACGTTCGACTGATAATGAAATTGCTCTGGAAAATAAAGAAAAAATTGTCATTTTTTGATGATTATTCATTCATTTAACATACATTTTCCAAAATTCTAAACATTGAAGACGAATTTTTCGTTCATAAACAATATAGGCAATCAATTTCCAAAGTGTTTCTTTTTTCTGTTGTTGTAAACAATCATGACAAACTTTCAATATTAACATCATATTTGTTGGATTCAATCGACAAATTTCGATAAGAAAATAAAGACGATCCATTGGTTGAATAAAATCACTGATTGTTATGACCATATGATAGATAAAAATTGGATCTCGATCACCAAATTGAAGGCAAATATGGCGTAAATTTTCATAGATAATTTTAAAATAAGTATCACAATTTGAATGACAATCCAAAAGCATTAGAAAATAACTAAAAATTGAAAAAAAAATTACAAACAAAAAATATTTGACAAATATAGTTGAAACCAACTTGAACGAAAAAATTTTGGCAAAATGACCATCCTTATCATTATCATTCCATATGGAATTGATCACAGTTGTATAAATCGAATCCAAACGAAGTAAATGTTTATCATTATCATTATCGTCATCGGAGATAGTTAGGTGATTATAAAGCCTGAAGTTTACAACAACAAAGAAGGAAATTAATCTAATGGAAAAAGAACAAACAAGAAAAACCTACATGTATGATAGATAGAGGTAGATTGAATAATGTTGTTGCAATGATGATTTTGGAAATCGAAAATCAATAAAACCGAAATCCATCGATTGTTGTTGTCCAGCAATCATGGCAGGATTGTGGCCATCCGAATTGAATAAAAGTTTTTCATAAAGTCGAATAAATTGATAATCATCATCAACAACATTATGAAAATCATCTTTATAATAATAAGATAAATTTCGACGCAGAATTTCACGACATTTATCAATATTTCCCAGCCGTTTATGATAGAATGCAAGCCAATAATTAAATTTTAATTGATTTTCGATCGATGATAATTCTTCATTTGATTTTATTGATGATGATTGCTGAAAATTTTCAATCAAATTTACCATTCCAGAAGCTGTCAACATTTTGTTATCATTATTACCATCGATAATATCATTGGTTTTCAAATCAATTTCAAATAAATGTAAAATTTGTAAATCATTTAGCAGATGAATATTTCGATTTTGATCAGCGAAAATAAAAGCAAGATAATTATCAAGATCATCTTCATCATCTTCTTGATCACCATAATCTTCACTACTATCATCATCGTTGATTGTTTTGATAAGCATTCGATTTAGATTGGTTAGATTTAAACGTAACGCAAAACAACTATCCATAGGATTTGGACATGAACATTTTGAAATATAATCATTATTATTATCGTTCGAACAACCATCATTGTCAAGGCAACAATTACGAAGAGCACGTTTAAAAATTTTCTTAATCATTCGAAGTTCTGATCGATTAATGCCACCATTGCCATCATCATCATTATCATTAACATTATTCCATTGAAATATAATAGGTTCAGTATTCAATAATGATAAAAATTGTCCCGATTTATTTGATAAATCAAAACAATGATATGGTAAACATGAATAAAGTACAAGATGTATATAACAATGCCATGCAAATGAACGATGTTTGGCTATTATCAATTGATTAAGTGGGCCTAAATCCGACACTGATGACGATGATAATGTTGGATTAAAAATTTCATTAAAAAATTTTACCGCTTCTTGATGATGATTTAAATGAAGCATTAGATTGATACGATAAAATATCATTTCAATAATTAATAATGAACGTTTACATGAATCTTCACAATATTCAATACCATTTGGTTGTAAAAATTTTTGCAATATTTCCAACGATACGGATAATTTTTCCGAAATTTTCGTACATAGATTTAGATAACGAATCCATAATGGAAAAGTGGAACAGTTTTTCAAAATTTGTTGACAAATTTTTTTATTTTGTTCATTTGAATCATTTTCCGATAATAAACTTGATCGATTGATCCATATCAGAAGATAATGTTCATATAATTCTTCACATTTACGATTCAATTCTAATGCCCGTGTTAAAACATTTAATGCTGAATCCAAACAATAAAGGCGATCTTCATTTTTTGTTGATGTAATTTTACTCAAATGATAATAAGCAAGATTAATCCACATTTGTATATTGTTTGGATCATTTGATAATGATGATTCTAATTGAGCAGTGATTGGTATACCTTCCGGGGCAAAATAACGATAATGTATAAATGAATCGGGATCAATTTTTCGATAATCATTCACCAAACGATTCAATTTTAAATTAAATAAATTATTAAATGATAATCGATAATCAAAACGATAATGATAATCATCGAATGGAATTTTTGTTTTAAATGTTTCCAAACGATTGGCTGCCATCATCGATATATGAATCAATTCTTTTGGAAATAATCGTATCAATAAACTGGATACGGTTATTTTCGATTGATCATTCGATCGAATTGATTGAGCAAATTGTTGAGCAATTTCTTCCAAAGTTGATGATTTTTCATTCACAACCATTGTCAGTTGTTTACGGCCAAGAAATTCATCCAATTTTTCGGCTAATAATCTTGGATTTTTTTTCACTTCATCTAAGGGTGGAATTTCGGCTGCGAATTCTTCCGAATATGACAAAATGTCTAATAATTTTTCACGTTGACCATAAAGATAATCTTTTTGATGTTGAAGCGAACATGTTTGATCATTACAAGAACCCATTAGATCAAAATGACAAATTCTAGCCATTGGTGATAGACCATTTGACCAAAAATCCATCATCATTGAATCCAAATCGATAGTTTCGGCAAAACGATATGAATTAAAATGACAAAGAACACTTTGATAATGTTGAAAATCCAGACCAGTACAATAACGATCCAATTGTTTGGAATCTAATTGCTGTGAACTATTTTCAGTAAAATCACTGAATGGTATTTTGAAACATTTGGATTGTAGAAATCGAGATGAACGTATAAGATTAAAATTAAAATGAACACAATGTTGAAATAGAATGAACACAGTATTGGCATTGGCAAAATTTCTTATCGATGATTGTATTCGTTTACGAAAATAAATTAATGATTGTAATCGATTTTCAGTTTGTTTTTTTCGTAATTTCTTTTTCGCTTTTGTTTGTCGATTTGTCGGCAATTGCTCTGTTTGCTTCGGTAAAGGTTGTTTTGCTGGCGTTAGCTGATATTTTTGACCATATAATTTTTGCCCGATTCGCATACAAGCCAAGCGTTGTTTTCGTAATCCAATCGTATCAATATTCAATGATCGTTTTAAAATATTCATTTCTTTTGTTGCCAATTGAAATTGTACGGCTAATAATTTATAATTTTTCTGCGCCAAAAGATATGAACGTTTCAATTTCAATAAACGATCTTTAGATTTTGTTAATTTTGTTTTCAATGCTGTAAATTTTCGATTCAATCCATACATTGATTGCTTTTTACGTTCCATATTGGCCATTGTTTTTCGATACAAAGATTCATGTGAAATTAATGATTTTCCAAGACGATCAATATTTTTTCGATTTTGTTTTTCGTTATTTGCTATTCCATTAGCTGTGGACGATAATGATATTGATGTTGATGACGAAGAAGCTTCGCGACGTTCAATTTCTTTACGTAATTTTTCATATTCTTTTTGTTGATTTTTATTCAATTTTTTTATCAATGATATATTCTTATTTGTTGTTAGGGGTGATTTTGTCGATGTTGATGGCAATTCAGATTCGGATTCATCATCATCATCCGATGATACATGAATAATCAATTGATAACGAGATAAATCCATTTTTGGTTTTAATAATTCTGTTTGATTTTTCGATACTATCGAATCAATACCATTACAATCGATTACAGATAATGGACTACCACGTTGTTGTTGTTGCAATGTGTTTGATTCTTGAACAGGATTTTCTTCAATCATTTTGGTTTTCGTCTTTTCCATCATCGAACGAATCAATTTTTCACGTAACATTTGTTCATTTAATAACCAATCAGTATTGGAATTACTGTTACTGTTGGAATTTTCAATTTCGATTTGTTGTTGCGGTTTGTCTTCATTCGATAATGATGTTGGAGTAACTTCATTATAGTCGAATAGTGGTGGTGATGGTTGTTGTTGTTGAACACAATCTTCGATACGGATATTATTTGAATTGAAATCCATTGGTGGTTCCGTAATCGAATCTGAACCAATATCATCATCATCACCGCCATCATCAGATGAACTAATTTGATCAAAATCAACGATAGGAATTTCTGTGGTAGACTCTGTAATTTCAGCATCATTTTGATCTAAATCTTCTTGTTGTTGTTCTGCTAAATTTAATATTGTAAATTCTTCTTTTAATTTATTATAATACTTGATTAGTTCATCGAAATCTAATTTATCAATATCGGCAAGATCGATACCATCGACAGTTAAAGTATCATCCACATCAACAACAACAGAATCTGTCACAACATTATTCGTTGCGGATGTTTGTTTTGTATTGGTCAAATCAATTCCGTTGATTTTTCGATTGAATTTTTTTCTCTTTTTTCGACTTTGAAAATATTTTGTCGATGATGATGATTTATCAATGATAACATTATTTTTCGAACATTCAATTAGTTTATCGATTTCATTTTCAATTTGATTTTCACCAATCGATCCAGGTGAATCGCTTTCCACACGAACATCAGCCTCTTGTATAACATTTGATGATAATATCTGTCGATAATCACAATCTCGTGTATAACGCCAATATTCTTGATTCGAATCAGGATCATCATCATCATCATTTAGTTGGCCATCCAATTTCAAAAAACTTATATCCTTTGCTGGATCATCATTACCGTTATTATTATTATTATCATAATCATAATTATAATCATCGACCATAGTAACATCGGCAATTTCATCATCACATCTTAGTATAACTGTACCAACATTATCAACAAATGGTAAATTTGTTGATTGTTGATCATCATTTCTTAATGGTATTCGATTTGCTTGTTGTTGATGATGATATTGTAGAAAATAATTCTGTAGATTTGAATAATCATTATAATTTATTGGTAATGTGGATGATGATAAATGAGGAATAATGCCAACATTATTCATTTGGATATGGCCATTCATATTAATTGAATGATGATCATCATTATTATTGGGAAAATTGCCTAAATAATTAAATGGATCAAGAGGATTCATGTATGATCAAGAAATAATAATCGAATAATAATAATTATTTAAAAAAGATAACAGCAATAATTATTTGAATTTAAAAAAAAAAATCTAAATGAAACGAAAACACGAATAACACAATTTATAAACAAACACACACACTTGATTTTCAATCGAACATGAGCGCGCAATAAATGTGTTCGACCATTTCGACTCAATCCATTCGAAATTGTCAAAATGGTTTTATTTTCATTTGTTTGATATTTGCAGCTAGATGGCGTGATTCATCATTTAAAAAAACATTCGAATTTTAATTTCAATTTTTCAAGAAAACAAAAATTAAAAATTTATAAAGAGATTCTGAAATTTTCTTTTTTTTCAATAAATCAAAAATCAATAATAAAAATCAATCAATATTGATTATCAGAATCACCACCACCAACATTAGTTACTGTTGCTGTTGTTACCGGTACAGCCGCTATCAATTGTACCGGTTTAAATTGTTGCTGTTGATCCAATAATAATTTTGTCTTTTGTTGACCATCTTTATTATTTTTTCCACCACAACCACCACCACCTCCTCTATTAATAATAAATGTTCGATCAACAAAATGTGGCTGTGATGATTGTGATGAGAATTGTTCATCAGCTTGAAACATACATTCAATTAATGACCAAAATAACATAATCATTATAAGCATTGCCGATATAGCCAATAATATCATTGGTATATGTTGAAATATTTTTCTTGAAAATCTTTGACAATAACTTAAAATTAAACGTTGTGTTTGTTGCTGTTCATGTGGTTGTTGTTGTTGTTGTTGTTGTTGCTGTTCATCATCATCAAATTCTTGTGATTCTTGATGTCTTTGTAAATGATGCTGTTGTTGATGATGAAATAGATTATGTACAATAAATTGTTGATCACAAATAAAAAAACAACGACGTTCTTGTTGTCTTAATAATAGATCCATACGATATTGATATGGTAATTGTTGCATCATATCAAATAATAACATATTTGATGAATGATGATTATTATCATCATCATTATCATCGTTACCAGTTTCATTCAACAATTTTTTTCGTTGTTGTAATCGTCGTTTATTAATAAAATCATTATGATAATATTGTAATAATCTTGTTATCGAACGATTTATCCACCAATCCTGTAATAATTTCTGATAAATCCATGAACATTTTTGTAAACATCCTGCATGTGTATAATGTTGATGATGATTATGATGATGATTTTGTTGTTCATAAGGCAAATTTCTTCCTGCAGAAATTTCTACAATAATAATTCCTTGATGAGATTTTTCTCCATTCGGCGACGACGACGATGATGATGATGTTTCATTATCATCTTTGTTGCCAACATCGATTTTGGAATTGTCGGATATCGATACATTTTTATTATTACCACCATCACTATTAATAATCGATGATGATGTTTCATTCGTTCGATTTTCATCAATAACATTCGATTGACATTGTACCATCATCAACAATAATATCCATCCACCGATGAAGAATTTATTTTGATTCATTTTCAAAAATATGCGAAAGAGAGAGAGGAAGAAACAAACAAATCGAGCAAAAATAAAAGTCGCTAAAAATCAAAAATTCAAAATTTTAAACAAAATAAAAAATTAAAACAAAAATTAAAAATCATTAAACTTTCGAATCAAACATTTTACAATGTTTATATAATGATTTTTTTTGAAAAGAATTGAAATTCGAACGAAACAAACAGAAAAATTCCATTAAAATCAAATTAAATTAGCCAATTCATCATCGATAATGATAATTGATTGAGAAAACAAATTAATCGAATTATCAAACCAATCAAACAACTTGAGTGATTTTTCTTCTTGAAATGTTCAATTGGAAAAACAGACATGATATTTTCAACAAAAAAAATTAAATATTCAAATTAGCAGTCGTTTTGTTCATCATCGTCTGATGATTTTCAACCTGAAAGATAATCATCCTATAAAATGATGGACATATTTTTTCAGCCAAGCAAAGCAAAGGTGATGACATCATAATCATTATCATCAACGTTGATGATGGCATAATTTGTTTAGAACATTTAACAAAAATTCAAATTCAATTTAAGCAACGAAAAAAACTATAACATGATGATTATGATGGATGGATGGATGGATGAAAATGATTTTTTAGCCACCGAAGCGTTAATTATGGACTTGAGATATCTGTATTTATCATAGTTTAGTTTAGTTTTTAAGTTTTTTTGAATTTCCTGACCTTTTTTTTTGCATCGACTTCTGGTGTTTTTGTTTCGTTTAAACAAATTTCAAAAAGGTCACTTTTTTTAAAAATGTGTAGGCATTTCGATTTGAAGAAAAAAAATTAATCGATTCGAAGAATCTTTCCAAAAAAAACCCCCGATTATCTCAATATAGACGAAACAAAAAGAAGAAGAAGGCACTGAACTTGATTGAAAAACAATCGATTGATTCAATGATTGATTGATTGATTGATGAATTGCCCAGCCAAAAAAAACGACAACCAATAGAATCTATATATTTTGACAGGTATAGATATCGATTATTTAAAAAAAAAAATCCTACCTGGCTATTGTGTTTCGTAACGAAAAAAAATTATGTAAATCAATTTTCTCTGAACATTGAAACGATGATTTGTTCGTTCGTTCGATATTCACTTCCTATTTCATTATATAACCTTGATCTTGTTTTTTTTCTGTGTTTGAATCAAGGTAGATGAACAGGTAATCATCCTTTTAGTTGAATTTGTGTGTGCATGGGGAAAATCCGATTCGATCTGATGATTTCGCGAGATGATCATAGTTATTTCAGAAATATTTTCTTTTTTCGAAGGTCAAAATCGAATCCGAAATTCAAAACTGGATTGCGGACATCCTTCCTTCCTTCCCCCTCACTCACTCCATCGACAACAATAATAAATTACCCAAAAACGGTGATACATACGGTGTTTTAAATTATTTCGATCACTATGATGATGAAGAAGTTTTTCGACTTTTTTTCTGTTGTTGCTTATGTCAAGTTCGTTCATCTTTTTTTTCCATTTGCTTGCTGATATATGATGGTCATACCTGTCTTGTGTGTGTGTCGCCAATCGACATTTACCTTTTCTGGTTTCGGTGGTCTTCTTCTTCTTCAACATCATCTTAGCTAGTTAGTGGTAAAACTTGATTTCAAATAGACAGGATTCTTTCGTTCGTTCGTTCAAATAAATCATCATGATAATTATTTTGTTTGCTTCCATATTTGCGTAAGCCGTTTTATTTTTCCCTTCATTCGAATCGAGAACCAGTTTTTGATTCAGCTAAACATTCAAAGAAAAAAGAAGAGAGAATTAGAGAAAAAGAATGTAACAATACGATAGATCTTAGCTGTCTTTGAAGATTGAATAATTCATCGGTCTTCGACATTTTGTCGTCGTCGTCTTCGTTGTTGTTTTTCTTTCGCCATTGTCCGTCCGTTATATTTGTTGTCGTTCATTTCAGTTAAGTTATGTCAGTTTGGTTGTGAATTTGAAAACGAAAAAAAACAAACACTTTTTTTCGTTGTTAAACGTTTATCGTGAAGACAAAAACAAAATTGCCATTTAATCGTCAAATTAAACAATCTTGAGACCTTGTTTTTGTTTTTGTTTTTTTGTGATTTGATATTTAATTTCCGTTTTTTGTTTTTCGAATGAATTGTTTGCGTGTGCGTGTTGATGATATATATCAATTCCATTCAGATATGACGTTTCAAGAAAAACATCATCATCATCGTGTTATCTTTTGATTCATTTTTCTTGATGGAACAAATTCAATGTGAAAAAAATGAAATTTTCAAATAAATACAAGAAAAAAAACGTGTATCGCAATTTGATTTCAAAAGATTCAACATCCATTCCATGGACATTTCGGTTAAGTGAGTGATTTGTTTTTGTGTGTACGTTGTGGTCTTCGTCTTTGCTTTCATATTTTCAAACATTTTTTCATCATTTGAAATTTAGTTTTTGATAAATTTGGTTGTTTTTTTCAGTTTTATTACGGTAGAGAAATACGTCATTGGATTTTGAATCGAATGATTTTTCCAACAAAAATGATTGTCGATAATTTAAAACGACAGCGAAGAAAAGATCATTTTACCGTTAATGATCATCAACAATATTCACAAACAATGATTACAATGTTCGGAACAAACGAAAGAATGGCCAAAAAATCAATCAATACCGATGATTATTTCAAATCATCAATCGTCGATGATGATACGATACGATTAAAAAATTGTGATGTTGATAATAATCGAAGTGAATCGGAACAAAAATTTCAACTATTCACACGTAATCATTATCATTACTGTTACAATAGCAATAATGATGTGAATAAACATTCGAATCATCATCATAATCTTCATAATGATGATGATTATTCGATTGAAAATCAATGGCCATTATCATCATTAATCAAATCATCGACTAAATCATTGAATTTTCATCGACCAAATCAAAGGCTATATTCATCATCATCATCATCATTGTTATTAATGTTATTATTATTGTTGATTCATGATTCTATCATATTAATTCATTCAACATCGATCAATGTTAATAATGATAATGAATTTAATGTTGAACGAAAACATCATCATGATCCATTCAAATCATTTTCATTATCAACATCAAATTATCATCCATTCAATGTAAAACCATCATCATCATCATCATCGATATCAAATGTCAATGATAATCGTTTTTTATTCAACATATCATCATCATCATCATCTTTAAATCATCCTCATCATCCGCTACCTCCTTTTTCTTTTTCACAACAACAACAATCAAAATATAATAACAATAATGATAATAATCATCAACCGGCTTCAATGATATTCAATGTTAATAGCCAAAATCAAAATGATGATGATCATCATCATGATAATCATAAACATCGACGTCATCCACAACATAATCCATTGTTATCGATAATAGAATCGAAATCAACATCAGGTTAGCACCGTTTCTTTTTTTTCACAATGGTCATTTAAATTTTTCAACAACAACTAAAAAAAATGTCATTCAAGTTTGAATTCGGGATATTTATGATCGAAAAAAATTGTTTAAATTTAGTACACACATCATCATACTGTTCGAGTAACGGGATAATTAAAAATAATAACAAAAAACGAAATTATTTTCATGAAAATCAGAATATTTTCGAGTGTTAGTTTTTTGATCATAAAAATCATTGACCTGATTCATGATTTTTTGATAGTTTTTTTTTGTTTGTACAGAATGTGGTCATTTGAAAATTTTGATGACCATTATTTTTTTGATGTTTGACCAAACTAAATATAGAATATGGTCATTGATAACCAAGAAGAAAAAAAATCAAAACTAGTCACATCTGAAAATTAGTTAATTTTTTCACTAAAAGATACGTGATTTATCCATATTTATGAAAACAAAAACAACAAGTGAAAACGAAAATAGATTCAAGTAGACAATTATCTGATATTTTTTTTGTTTGTTATTGTTCTGTTAGAATGAATTCAAAGAAAAAATATTCATCTTTTGTTATGGATAATTATTCTTTGTTTTTTTTTGTTTTCGTGATTTAAATTGTAAATATTATTTTGTCTATGTGACATATACAAAAGATTTTCTTTTCTTTTTTTTGGAAAGAAAAGAAAAATTCTTTTCAAAAACACATCGACAAACAGACAGAGCAATGACTCGTTTGTTCTACTTATCATTATTGATGATAATAATTTAGATTTAGTTTTCGTTTTTTTGTTTTGTTTTGAAATGGAAATGATCCACAAGATTTTTTTTTTTTGAAACTTACTGAATTAAAAGGTGGATACTCGCCAAAAACTCGACAATTGGAACGTTTTTTGAATTTTTGAATACGTACACTATGATTAGACCACGGGTCAATGTCCGTTTTGTTTTTTTGCTCCCGGTTCTTTCTTTCATTTTTTCTCTCATTGTTCCAAAACTAATTAAATTGCCATTTAATTCATGTTACAGATTCGATTCGTCATAATTTATTTTCACCATCACCGTCATTATCATCATCGGATTATTACAATGGCCCAGTTTCCACAAAAATCTTTCATCACAAATCATCATCGTCTTCGAATCAAATTGATGATGATAATAATGATAAAAAACAATCAGTACGTGAACCGCGAAGAATTTCCAAATTAGGAGAAGATTTTCCATCACCATCACCACCGCTTACCATGACAGATGGCGATTTACCGGCTGCTGGACGTATAAATTCAAAAGATTTATCACGTTCAAATAATAAAAATAGTGGATCATCATCATCACATGGAATGGATGATCTGCTTGGTGGACTTGCACAATTACTTGGTGGTAATCTTAAAATGCCTAATTCAGCCAATTCAGCAAATGGTCCACCACCATTGCCGCCGCATCTATTTTCCAATCCAGATCAACAAGCAAAATTAGCACAAATGTTATTAGGACAAATGTCCAATAATGGTGGATTAAATCAACGAATACCAGCACATTTAGCACATCTTATACCTCGTGGTGGTCCAAATTTTCCTACCGGTTTTAGTGGTGGAAACCCTATTGGTCTACCACCACAACCACCGAATTTCGCTGGAAGGCCATCATCCAATTTTGGTCAATCTAATTATCCAACATTTCAATTACCATTCATTCCATTATTATCGAGTGGTGGTAATTCAAGACCACAACAACAATCACCACCGGCTATACCATTAAATAATCCACCAATGTCATTACCAATGCCATCGATGAAACCAGGTTCGAATATCAATCATAATAATAATCCAATGATGATGATGATGCCACCATCATTACATGGATTATCTAAAGCCGAAATGGATGCCCTAATTCATCAATTCATATCGCCATCGGCCAATATTAATATTAATAACAAAACGATGATGAACAATGTGATTGCTAATCTAATGTCGAAAATTAGTTCATCATCACCAACCGGTGATCGATTAGATCATTCAAGTAATAATAAAATAGATACATTTTTACCATTTTTTGGTCAACAAAACGATACATCTAATGGTAATAATAATAATAATCGATTATCAATAACATCAATTTCATCGGAACCACCACCGCAAATTATAACAATGCAAGAAGATGATGGACCAAGTGTATTTGAAATGGTTGTTAAACATAAAATTGGTCCAACAACAACATCAGTTTCGTCTAATATGATTACGACCACGACTAATTCTGTGGATTCAATTCGACCAACATCAACAATAAATCCGACTATTTCGACAGTTTTGAATCCTGATGTAACCGAAATTCGTAATCATCATCATCATCACCATAATCATCATCAACATCAACAACAACAGCAACATCAAAATCCAGGTAATCATTATTCACAAATATTACGTGTTACATCGAATCCAAATCAATCATCTAATAAAATGAACGATGTTGTTTATGGAAAACGAATACCGATAACAACATCAGTCATAGGTTTAGAACCATCATTTACATCGTCAACAACAATGATAACACCATCTTCATCGATAATTTCATCATTATCGACAATGAAAACTATTTCAACAAATCAAGAATTACTCGATCCGACGAATACTTTTTCAACACCGCCATTACATTCACAAACAACAAGTATATCGTATGGAAAACCAGTAATCATGCAATTGCCAATTGAAAATGTAAAACCTAAAATCGGACAATTTGATCCAACACATACGATTGATGCATCAATGACAACCACTAGAAATAATAAAATTGGTGTAATTGAATCAATAAAACCGTCAAAATTATCACCAGGTAATCAAATACCCGGAACCGGTTCATTTAGTAACACTAACAGCAACAACAATATTGGTTCAAATTCAACAGCAAAAAAAACACAAGCTAAACAATATGTACGTCGTCCGGCATTTCGACCACGACCAAACGTACCGATTGTACGTATTGATACCTGTATTGTTGGTGATGATAGTACATGTGATATTTCATTGAATGAAAAATGTATTACCGAATTGGGTCTTAGTTCATGTCAATGTCGACCAGGTTTTGCACGAATAATTCCCCGTACAAATTGCTCACCAGTCATATCATTATCAATATCATTTCGTGCGGATAAAATGGCCGGTAATAAATTACAATTTACTCGACCATTATTGAATGCTAATTCGGAAGAATATCAATATTTGGAATTTGAATCTATTCATGCATTGAATTCATTGTTTGCACAAACTAAATCATTAAACACTGATCTAATGGCTGTTAAAATTAATCGATTTTATGCTGTTGGTGGACGTACTATTGTTAATGCAACAATATCATTGCGATCGAATGATAGTTTAATTAATTCATCATCACAACGTATCAAACGACAGCTACAACAAGAATTAACACAAGCTATTATTGATTCACAAAATAATCTTGGTGAATCACAATTATCAGTAGATTCGGGTTCGAATGCTATCACTAGAATTGATGATCTGGATGAATGTTCTGTTCCAGATCTAAATGATTGTTCAAAAAATGCTTATTGTATCAATGAATTTGGTGGTTTCCGTTGTGAATGTGAATCAGGTTATGAAGATAAATTTCCGGATGGTGATAAATTACAAACTGGTCGTATTTGTTCAACTTGTTCACCATCATATTGTTCAAATCGTGGTGAATGTTTGATTATCAAAGGTGAACGTGTTTGTCGTTGTCGGGCAAATTTTATCGGCAGTCAATGTGATATTGATGCTGAAGTTTTAGGTGTTGCTGTTGGTGGTTCTATTGCTGCATTGGTCATCATTGTCATAACATTTATCTGTCTTTATATGTGGAAGTAAGTAAATTTTTATTGTAACCTTTTTTCTAGTTATCATTTTTTATTTCATAAATTTTTAGCCAAAGATTTCGTCATGAACAGCAAAAAATTGAAGCAATGTCAGCAGCAAGTGGCCATACATTTAGCTATATGAATAAACCATCGGCTGCATCATTAGCAGCTTTGGCTACAATGTCACGAATGTCAACTATGGATGGTACAATTGGTGGTGGTGGTGCTGCTGCTGCAGGATACGGCAGATCATTGTCATCATCATCATTATGGCCACAAATACATCATCATCATGCATATTCGGCTGATTCACAACAACATTTATTACAATCATCATCATCAGCAACAAATACAACTAATTCAGCTAGTACAAATGGCTATGGTTATACAGGTGGTGCAACAACAGCAACTACAAATAATATGGTAATGTAGCCGGAGACATTTTTTTTGCATTTATTCATAAGGTCAAGCAGCGGTCAATACTGCATGTGGAGATAGTGACATTTATTTTACAAAGATCCTCTCTCTCTTTTAATAACTGACTTTCGATGTTATCGCTATGTCGCTAGGTCAATGACAAACAAAAAATATGTCTTCTCGGTGTTGAATGACACCGTTAATTAGATTGAAAAAAGAGAGAAAATGTAAATTTAAGAATCATTCAATCGAAACCAGATTTTGATTAGATGAATTAGGTCAAATTTTAGATAAATCTTAGCTGAAAATGTAATAAATTATCATCATTTAATATAGCTATTTACTTTTAAATTATATTGAATTTCTAAACATTTTTTTTGCTTTATCCACCTACACACAAACTCACAGGATTCATCAAATGTACAGCATCCGAATGCTAGTCACGTGTATGCACAACCTGTAAGAGTTGTTACAAATACATTATCGGATCATTATGATCCATCATTATCAAACATTGGTGGTGGTGGTTATTCAACTGATTCAATATGGAATAATTGCCGTAATGGTCGTAATTCAACTCGTACAATCGGTACTACCAATAATAATAATAATAATAAAACATCATCATCATCAAAATCTCGACATCATCATGATTCATATCATAATAATGATCGTCGACATAATAATAATGGTACTATTTCTGGTGGCCAATCATCATCAACCGGTATACATTATCCATCCTATGTAAGTTTTTCTTTTTTTGGGTTAATAATTGAAAAACATTTCAATTTTTTTTCTGCTCCCGAACAGAAACATGATGTCTATAATGAAACAGAATTCTCCACACGTGAATTAATCTATTCACCAGGACATTTATTTACAATGAATCCATCATCAAGACATCATCAATCATCAAGCCATGCTTATTATTGATTGATGATAAATATTTTTTTTTTAATTATCAAAATTACAAATTTTTTCAATTTTCTTTTTTTTTATATTCATGTTCATTAATCAGATTTTAATTATAAAAAAGCCTTATCATTATTTTTTCTTATAAATAAATAAATTCCTCTTATGCATCAAAATTACCAACTGTCCATCGATAAAATTGATGATGATTACCATGAGTAATGGCTAAATGTTCTCGTGTTTTTGTCATCACACGATTCATTTCAGTTTCAACACCATCCATCCAAAATCGTTGATGATTTAGGATGAAAAATCTTAAAAATGTTTGATAAAATAATGATAAACAAGGATGATATACACATTTACGATAATATTCTTCTTGTATTACTAATCGTTGTGTCCATAATTGATATAATTGTCGCCATGTATCTTCATCATGATCATTATCATCATTATTATCATTGCCATTATCATCATTGTTGTTGTTATTGTTCGAATTAAGACGTTCAATTAGATTTTCCAAAATTTTATAACGTTTAAAATCAACTTTTGAATCAAATGCATCATTACTATCGATAGTATTGTCACAACCACCGATACATTGACAGGTGAAAAAATAACGTTCTTCAAGATGTTTAATACGTTCATCTTTAGGTAGAATATCCTGAATATAATCTAAATAGATTAGGTCACCGGGACGAATTGGACGAAGTGCACGAATTTCCAATGTTAATGAATCGCCAGCAGCACATGCATTCGGTACACAGCTATGATCAAAAACTGATGCCTCCAGATATAGGCCACAACCACGATGATCAATAGTAAGATTATCAGTATCATAACAATCGATACCAAAACTATTCACATGTAATAGGCCATAACATTTTAATAATAATTCGTGATCATAATCATCAATTTTATAGAATTTAAAATAATTAATGATACCGCCAAATTGTTCCGAATCCTTTAATAAATAAAAAAAAATAATAATTATGATCGATTAATCAATCAATCAATCAAAAACATATAGTCCAAACAAGGATAACCCATTATTTACCTTTAATTGTTCTGAATGTGTTTCCATATCATCAATCATTCGTTTTTGACCATTATGTGGTAATGTAAATGATCGTTTTTGTCCAGACGGATTATTTTCATCTTTGGATGTCATTAAAAGATATAAACGTAATGTTAAACGTTGCATATAATCGATTCCTTCATTTTCGAATCTATTTTTGGTTGGAAATTTTTTATTTTAAAAAATGAATTATTCAATTTTACAACAACAAAACTATAAACATACTGCATTGGTTCACGTTTAGCCAAAATTGGACATTCAATACGATGTAAACGATACCATGCTTTCATTTGACAATCAGTCGAACAATAATAAACTTTACGACAACCAGGACAAACAATAGATGAATCAATTGATTGCATACATTGATCACAGGTAAACAATCGATGTTCATATTTTGTTACATAGACAAATGGTTCATTTAAACGAAATATAACATCACCAGGTTGATAATTATGATCAGATTCGGCTATTTGACGATGGCTATTCATTTTTTTTGTTGTCTGTTGAAGTTTAGTTTATCAAATGAAATTTTACTGCGATTTAAAGACGAAAAAAAACAGCCATGCTGTTCAAAACTAACTAACTGATCATCAGAAGCCTGCCAAGAATATTGTTGCTAAAATTAGCTTAACATCGCATCAACGTGATTGACGCCCAGATTTTCAACAACGAAAAAAAATTTCAAATTCAATCAAACAAAATTTGTTTAGTTTACTTTATTTTCATCAAAAACAACAACAACAACAAAATGAATAAATCACAAGTATTTTAGTAAAAAAGATTGAAAAATTTTTAAAAATAAGCAATATCTTCGGTGAATGCCGATGCAATACGAAAATCTTTTGATAAAAAACAATACATTCGATTTGATGATGGCCGGGAATATGGTGCAGGTCTGGCGAATCCTGTTGCACGTATTATAAATTCTTTACCGGTAGGTGGCGGTAATGAACCGGATGATATTATTTTCATCATTTTTTCATTATCCGATGATGATAATTCGTTTGTTCGAATTCGATCACCAACACTTGTCGATTGTTCATATTGAAAACGATCAGAATCGGCAAAAATTTTAACAATCAATTCGGCAATCATATCGGTATTTGCAAATTCAACTTCTGGTTCGTTAATTAATTTCAAAATAAATTGAATAAAATCTGATCCTTTCAATTCGGTCAAAGTTTTCATATTATTCGATTTGGATAATCGAGTTGCAGGTAATTTTTTTGTCGATGTTATTTTACCTGTAATTGCTGTAGGGGAATTTGATCGTTGTTGTGGTTGCTGTTCTCGAAATAAATTGGCAAATAATTTTTTCTGTCGTTGAAAAACCGATTCATATGAATGACAGAATTTATGTAATAATGAATAAAATTTTAACATTGAAAATTCTAAATCATTCAATTGTTCATCGATCAGTTGGCTATAATCATTTCGATTGAATAGATGTTCAATTGAAATTATATCGATTGATAAAAAATCAATATTTGAATCATCACCACCAGTGTTGTTGTTGGATCGTATAAAATCAAGAATTTCTCTACGATAACGTAATAATTGTACAATAAGCGATTTAAAAACAATAGGCGAAAGAAAATCCACCAAAGTTTTCAATGAAATTGTTTCGAAATATTGAAGAATTTCTTCTGCTTCTTTTGTATAATTAAACAAACGTTTTTGTCTCCGTACAGGACATGGCCGAGCAGATTGCCAAAGTTCATTCCATGTATTTGATTCACGCATTCTACGACTTAGACCAAATGTTTCGGGCATGTCATCAACCTTATTCGATTCGAATGATGATTGTTGTTGTATCCAATCACGTGGTGAATGCCAACGAATAAAATCTTCAAATTGACAACCTGGATTAGCTGCTTTAAATGCTTCCATATCGGATAATAATCCGGCTGATTGTAAACGAATTTTCATTCGAACATCATCAATTTGAGCCAAATTTGCTACTTGTCGTGCCAGAATATCTTCGGTCATTGGTGCCGGATCTTGTGTTTGTGGCACTTGTATTGGTCGATTCGAATTCGACAATAGATATATTGGTTGATCATTTGAATCTTTTAATGGATAAAGTTGACCTTCAGCTGTTTGATTTTCCGTTTCGGTTTCCAGTTCTTCATCTTGAGCATCAAAAAATTCTTCATCTGAATCTTCTGCGGCAACAGTAAGTTTAATATTTTGATGTTCTCGTTTAATTTTCTGTCGAATACAACTGTTTAACATTTGAAGTTTTTGATGAAATAAACAAGATCCATGATCAATTTCGTTGTTTTTATCATAAAGATGTGGTAATAGTTGTCCAGATCTCCAATGATTACGTAATTTTTGTATGAAGAATTTCCATAATTGTGCCAGATTAATTGGCTGACGAGTTTGGCCATAAATATTTACAACAAGATTGGCTAAACGCCAACTAAGGCTATTACGTGGTGCTGATTTCAATTTATCAAATTGATCATCATCGGGTTTGTTATCCTGTTTTTCATTCGCTTTTTCTCGATCATTCGAATCATCATTATCATCGAATAAATTTTCAACAAATGCTTCAATATATTCTGGTGGAATTTGTCTTGAACCAGATCCAGCTACCATTGACATTAAATCTGTTAGAAATTGACTTGTAACCAGTAATTTATTTGTTGTTTTCAATAATGATGATTGTGCAGTTGATGAAGGTGTCGATAATCGATCCAATGCTTGACGAATATCTTGTTCATCTTTTTGTTGTTGTTGTTGATGATTATCAATTTCTTGAAATAATGAATTCAATAATGGAATATTTGAATTACCACGATTCGCAAGTTGTCGAAATAATCGAATTAATTCAACATAACGACAATAAATTGGTAGATTATTTGGATCATCATTGAACAATGATCTTAGCGACCATTTTGGTGCATTACGTGGTTGTAGATCACTATGATATGCATTATCAGTAATTAATTCTTCGGCTACAGATGGCCATGTTGTTGCCAATTGCCATTGTGTAAGTGGATCACCAAAAATATTGGCAAAATTTATCATTATTTGTTCATGAGCTTTTGGTATAATGTTCAATGTTCCAAAATAGGAAAATCGTCGAACAAATAGATTCGAATCGATTATGGATGGATTGAATAGTAGATATTCGGTTGGCCAACGATTCAATAGATATGTAAATCGAATAGAAACACGTACTGTAGGTTCATTCGAAGATGATGATGATGATGATGGTCGATATTCGTCAATCGTTTCATCTTTAGGTGTTATAACATTCGAATGATATGAAAATGATGAATAAAGTTTCTTTTTGAAAAGCACCATTAGTTCATTGAAATAACGATATGATGGTGGAATATCAGGGAATTGTATCATATCAAAATAGGTACGAAATCCATTTGTTTGATGACCAATTCCCATAAATAAACGACGGCTAAGTGTAGATATTTGACAAAAAAATGGTATTTCACAATCTAAATTATGCAAAGCAATGGAAGCTGAACCAAGTAAATGTCTTGCACGATCTTCTGTACCGATAATTTCACCATCCAATGGTATAAGTAATAAAAATTGACTAAGGCCATAATAACGAACTAATGGATGTCCAGTAACGGGCCAATCATTTTCAATTGAACACATATCACGCCATGATTGATTGATTGTTTGATTCGACGTCTGCTGCTTACATTGTTCAGATGATCGTCCAATCGGTACTGATGATGATGATGCGGAATCTTTACGAAATTGAAAATATTGCAATGAAAATGAAACCTTTCGATATTTGATTGATTCTTGTCGATGTTGCCATCGATTTGGTTCGGATAATAATTTCGATGTTGCAATTTTTGAATTCGATGTTGTTGGTGATGATGATGATGATGTGTTGATAATGATCGAATCCTTATTATCCAAACTATTGGCCAAATTCCATTGAGTAAGTATTTCTTCAATATCTGCGATAAAACGTTCCCAATCGGATGATGTACTGAAATCATTAATTTCGAATATTTCTTCATCGCATTGCATTTTCGTTTAGTGATCGAAAAATCCTAATCAGTAAAAAAAAGATTAAACAAAATTAGAAAACAAAAAAATCAATGAATCATTGTAGTTGTGGTAAAATTCCCCGGGAAATCAAAACATTATATTCGTCGGAAATTTTCCCGGAAAAATTTGATTAATTTACATGAATTGATCACATGGTGAAAAATTATCGTCTGCAAGAATCAATTTTTGAATTCACCCAAAATGACATCAAAAACATTGGCAAAATGGTTTCTGGCCATATCAATAATCGGTTCGATAGCATTGATTTGGAATGTACATCAACAACAGATTTTGGATCGACAACGTTTACATGATGGTGTTATTCGTGATCAAGAACGACAACGTTATAAACAAATGCTTCGCGATCTATCATCAACTAATCGTTCACCACCACCTTCTAATTAAATTAATATTATCTTTAGTTTTTTTGTTTGTTAAAGAGAATCTTTTTGCCTGTTTTATAATATAAATATTATTTACAATTTTTTTTTATATTGCGGAAAAAAAGTAATGCGAAGTAATAATAATAATTTCTGGTCTTTTCTTATCGTATGTCGGTGTTTGAGAAATTATATAAATCATTCATGTTTGATTGATTTAAACCTGTCAAATCTAGTCATCACCAGTCAAAATTGAAGAGAGGGAGAAAATTATTTATATAATCAACAGCTTGACAACAACATGGTTTGTTTGGATGGAGACAGAAAAAAAACGAACGAACGATAAATGCGGTTTGATAGCACCATTATCATTCTTCGGCAACCATTATCGAATCAATGGCAACAACAACCATTGAACAAAAAAGAAAAGATTCTTGAACTTTTTTTCTGGGATTATTATCATCATATTTCGATGATAATTTGAATTAGTAAATCAAAATAATTTTCTCTTCAATTCAATTTAATTCAATTACAATTCGATGATTGAATGAGTTGCCTTCATTCGAATTCGAATATGATTCGATTCGAATCATATTTCGAAACAATCGATATATCGATATCACACACACACACAAAAAAACGATAGTGTTCGATTTATTTAGCCGGAAATTTTCAAGTTTATCATCATTATCAACAATGTACCGATGAAATTTTGATTGATGGATTGACGATAATCAAATTAAACATGTGCCATTCGTTCGTTTCGACATAATGTCCATTTCCAATTGCAATCAAGGATGATGATAATTGATAATTAATGAATGTTTTAAATGTTCACGCGCGTTCGATTAATGATAATTCTTGGAAAAATTTACGATAATCTTTTCGATAATCAAATTAAATTAATTTAATCAACAAGAAATAGAAATGGAAAAACCCCTAATTCAATTTATTCCGAAAGAATTGTTTGAAAAATGATTTAAATTTTCTAAAATCAATAATCAAATGTGAGAATTTACAAAGTGTTTTTTTCTACTTAATCAAAATCTTGAAAAAATCCTTTGACAAATATGATATCATTCATTATGATAAACACCATCATTATTACTATGATGCATTTTGTTTCAGCGTAAGTTGATGATATTTTTAATCTATTCTTTCCTATTTTAATTCTAACCAAAATGATTTTATCGTTTGTTTTGTTGATTTAGCACTGATGATAAAATAGTCACTGATTGTCGTGATGAAGCATTAGAAACAATGACCAATAAAGATTGGTATGGTGAAAAATATCTTTGTATTTGTATTAGTATTTTAATGGATAATTGTGTGGAAAAACGTTGTCAATTAGATGAAACTAGAGTACAATATCCAAAAACTTGTACAGGAAGTTATGATTATCGTGGTTATTTAAATTGTGAAAAAATTATTGATCCAAATTCTAATGAATCCAAATGGATGAAAATGATTTCAGAAAAAAATTGTGAAATTGATTCATTACAAATAACATTACCGACTGGTTCATTAATATTGAATGCAATAATTTTAATTATTGCTATTATAATATTATTATATTTTATCTATTCAACAATTAAAAATGGTCCATTCAAAAACAACAATATTACCGGTAAACCGAAAAGAAAATTGCTAAAAAATTTATCAAAAAAATCAATCAAATCCTTTAAATCAAAAAAATCCCTCAAATCAATCAGATCAATCAGATCAAAAAAATCAAAATCACGTGGAAAATTTTCGAAATCAAAATTATATCTACCGAAATCTTCATTGAAATTTTCCAAACAACAAATATCGATAATATCGAAAAGTAAATATTCAAATCAAGATGAATCATCATCATCTTCTTCTTCAAATCAAACAAATTCCGAAGTAAAATTTTCCGAATTGAAATTTTCCGAACAAAAATCGTCAAAAGAAAATTCTAGTAAATTTTCCCAACAAGAATCGTCGAAAGAAGATTCTAGTAAATTTTCCAAACAAGAATCGAATTCAAATATTCCTAGTAAATTATCTGATCAAAAATCAAATCGAAGAATTTTTAGTAAATTTTCCAAACAAGAATCGATTCAAAAAATTTCTAGTAAATTTTCCAAACAAGAATCGAATTCAAATATTTCTAGTAAATTATCTGATCAAGAATCGAGTCAACGAATTTCTTCATCAAAATCATCCAAACAAGAATCGAGTCAACGAATTTCTTCATCAAAATCATCCAAACAAGAATCGAGTAAACCAAATTCACCACCAAAATTTCTCAAACAAGAATTAATTCAAAAAACAGCAAATTCTTCATGTACAGATTCCGAACATGATATGTTTCAATATCGAAAATCAAGTGATAAAGTTTCTAAACAAAATTTCAAAGTTTCTAAACGACCAAGATCAATTCGACAGAAAGTTTTCAAACGAAAATCTAGTAAATCATTGAAAAGTCGATCAAATTTGCGAAAACTTTCAAGAAAATTTTCAAAATGAGATTAGGAGATCCAGAGATGTTTGATAGGGGAGGGATAGGGTGACTATATTTATAATTTATTGATTTTTTTTTCCTACACCTTGTTTTTGGTTATAATTAATAAACATTCAAAATACTCACGTTTGGTTAAGGGAGGCTAATGAAATTCATATTAGTAATTAATGAACATTTAAATTACTCACGCACTCGCGCATATGATGATAATGAAATAATAAAAAAAGAGGGAAACATAATGATTGATTTTTTTTTGGAAATTCAATTGAATTGTAAATATGGAATTACAAATGATGATGAATGTTTGCAATCAAACAAGATTATATTTCCTTGATTGCTTGTTGCTACTTTAAATGCTTTTTGACAATTTTTTTGAACAGAAACGACGTATAAAAAGTGGCAGATATCAAATGTGTATTTCGTCGTCTTCGTCTTCTGTTGATAATAATCATTGATTGTTTAAATCGTAATTGATTCAACTTACGTCGTCATCGTTGTTGTCGTCGTCGTCGAAACAAACAAAAAAGTGATTTTCTTCCGAAAAGTTTCAATTTCATTTCATTTTCGCTCATTTTCGATTTTCTCCATTTTGTTGTTGTTGTTTTCACTAATCGATTATATCGATATAATCGATTTTTTTTTGTGAACATCCATTTCCCGAGGATTGTTTGTTTGTTCGTGTGTGTGTGTGAAACAAAAAGTGATTCATTCGAATGAAGAAAAAAAGTATTAAATTTCAAAAAATAAAAAAACCCAATTAAAAAAAACAACACTTTCTTCAGATTTATTCTCGTGATAATTTGTTCCCCCTCTCTCCAAAGATAATGTTTTGTGAATGAAAATAAGGTCAATAATCAATCAATCGATCAATTAATCAAATTTGATTGAATTCAAAGAAAAAAAAATCCGAAAAGAAAGTGAAAAAATCAACAAAGTCAAGAGGAATTACTATTAATTGAAAGAATTTTATTATTGATATGGCATTGATTATTGACAATTTTTCATCAATCATCCTTTAAATGATCAAATCAAATTGATCGATCGATGATTGAATAACAATGATAATGACAAATTAAGAACAATCCGATACATTCTGAATTCGAGTGATTTGTAAATCAAAAAGCAACAAAAAAATAATGGGTAAGTGTATTTACCTCGACCCATATCATCATCATTGTACTTCGATTGGTGTGTGGTGTGTGTGTAAATGATTGTTGTTGATAAAATCATTGTCATTCAAAAGAAAAAGTTATTTGTATCAATTTTCTTTTCTTTTCATTTCATTTTTTGAAAAAAAAGATTAGAATGAAAATCGGTTGGTAAAGGGGGATGGTCGTCAATAATAATCAATAAACGTTCGAATCAATCGTATCATTTTCTCCATTCGAATATTATCTCATCATTACCACCATCAATTTTTTCCCACTTATATAAATATAAAAAAGCAAAGCGTGGGTTTCCCTTTTTTAATATTCATCCAATCAATCAATCAATCATTTCGAACATTGTGTCTGTGAATATATTTGCCATATTTGAAATGTAAAAAAAGAAAAAATTTGTCAATTTTTCAAATTCATCAAAGTTTTTTATTAATTTTCAATCCGGAATTTCAATTGCAAACTATCATTCAAAGAACAAAGTTTCCATAACAATATTCATCATCATCATAATAATCTTATTTAATTAAACTAAAAGAAATGTCTAAAACATTAAGCTCAAAATTTGTTGAATCATTTTTGATTCGTACAAATGATCCAAATCGTAAACTATGGTTACATCGTTTTTTGGTATTATTATTAACATTTATTGTATATACAATATATCATATGTCACGTAAACCAATGTCAGTGGTTAAATCACGTTTATTCAATGGTAATGTTACCGATCATCAAAATAATTGGCCACCATTCGATGGTTCAAATGCCAATACATTTTTATCAATATTGGATGGTGCTTATTGGGGCACATATGCAATCGGAATGTTTTTTACCGGTTTTTTAGCCGAACGTAGTAATTTACGTTATTTTCTTTCAATTTCGTTATCGATTTGTGGCTTACTTTGTATTGTTTCTGGTTCGGCATTTTACCTAAAAATTCATTCATTATGGTTTTTTATTATAACACAAGTATTGACCGGTTTAGCTGAATCAACTGGTTGGCCAGCTGTATTGGCTATTATGGGTGGTTGGTTTGGTTCAACAAAAAAAGGTTTCATATTTGGTATATGGTCATTACATACATCAGTTGGTAATATGCTTGGTACAACTATTGCCGGTATTTTTGTCGATTTTAATTGGGGCTTATCGTTTATTGTACCCGGTTTGCTTTGTATAATCATTTCTATAGTGATATTTTTTTTATTAGTTGAAAGTAAGTTTTTTAGTATTGTTTTTTCAAAGTTTTTCATTTAACCATTTTTTCCCACCCCTCAAAACCAGAACCATCGGATGTAGATCTCATTGTAAACATGACATTACCCGATGATAATCGTCAAATGAAATTATCGGATGAAGAATCAATAACAAATACAGTATCGACAATTTCATTATCATCAACGATTGATTCGAAAATTGTAAAAAATTCATCATCATCATCATCATCATCATTATCAACGAAAAAATCCGAATCCAATTCATTAAAATCATCATCATCATCAACAACAACATCATCGGAACCAATCGGTATTTGGGATGCATTATTCATACCTGGTGTTATTGAATTTTCGATATGTTTATTTTTTACAAAATCCGTATCGTATATATTTTTAACATGGCTGCCAAAATTTATCAGTACAACTAGTAAGTTGTTTATCTTGAAAATAACACAAAAAAAATTCAAATTGAATCATTTTTCACATAGATCGAATTCCAGCATCTGAATCGGCATACATATCGATTATGTTCGATATTGGTGGTAGTGTTGGTTCAATTATGGCCGGTCTTATGTCCGATATAATTAATGCCGGTGGTATTACTTGTATAATATTTCTTCTAATGGCCATTCCATCGGTAAGTGTTAATCATATTTACATTATGAATGAATCTTGAATAACAATCTTGTTTTTTCCATTTGTCTTTAGCTATTTTTACTTGCACATTTTTCATCGATTAGTTTGGCCATTAATCTAGCATTACAATTTATGGCCGGATTTTTTATTAATGGTCCATATTCATTGATTATAACATCAGTATCGGCAAATCTAGCTTGTACAGTACCATCAAAAGCAGCAACAGCAACAATATCAGCTATTATTGATGGTACTGGATCGATTGGTGCGGCAATTGGTCCAGCAATTACCGGACCATTATCCGATTATTTTACCTGGAATTCAGTATTCTATCTTTGTATGGTTGGTGATTTTATTGCTGCTTGTTGTTTGGTTCGAGTGGCATGGAATGAATGGAAACGAAATCATTGTTCAATATTAAAACGATGTAATTCATCAATCTCTAATGATGATTATTTATCATCATCGATTCAAAGTGATGAAAAACAAATTGTTTCTTAAAAATCAACAAATTCTCTCTATTATCAATAATTGTAAATAATCAACGCTTTTGTAATTCATATTTTTAGATAATTTTTTTTAAATTTATTAATTTTCGAAAAATTTTTAATAAACAAAACAAAAAAGATGAATGAAATTTTTTTTCATTAATTAATTAATTCAATAAAAAGTTTTACGAATATTTTCAACAAATGAATTATGTCGTTTAATTTTAGTCGATTTTATCGGCTTGATGGTTTGAGATTTTTTTGCCAATTGTTGTTGTTGTTGTTGCTGATCGGCTAATGTATCAATTGTCGAAGATTTTTTCTTCGCAACCCTTTTAAATGATGATTGAATGGAAAAATTATTATCGGTAAGTAATTGTTGCCAGAATTGATCCTCAATTTCAAACAAAGCTGTCATAACCATTATTTGTTTAGGTATTTCACGTTTTAATTCAATTGATGATTGTGGACAAAATTCCGAATTACCAATAATGGTTGGTGCAAAAATACTGGCCAATGCATTACGATTCATAAGTGTTATACGTTCACAATTGGCAACAAAATTTAGATGACGAATAAGAAAGGCAAGCGAATCACGATGTGGTAACGGTAATTCACAGATAACTTTTTTCAACAGCAAAAATCGTTGATTATCATTCATCATCGATGTATTATCATAATCATTATCGGATTTTGTTTGATCACTGATATTATCGTCAACACCGGAATCTGGTTTATCACCACCGTCCAATTGTTTTGGAATTGTTTCATTAATTGGATCTAATCGAATTAGAAAATAAAAAGATAACAAAAAAGAAAAAAACCTCAAAAACATACTTGAAGCACGAACAAAATTATGCCACATAATTTTTGATACAAGTGAATCTTCAAGATCACGTAAAAACATTTTTACAACACCACAAATTATATGTATTGATTCAATTCGATCAAGATTCGGTAGGCCATGTTCCGCACGTAGAATACGATTACGTAATTCGCGAACATCTTGATCGATAGCCGATATTCGATATAAACCAGCTAAAGGTGATTCCAAATCATTTGTTGCATTAGTCATTGTCGAATCTTTCATAGCCTGACGTAATCGTCGATCAATTTCATTACAACAATGTATCAATATGGCCGGAATACAAGGTCGGATTTGATCGGGAACAAAATCACCAATAATAAGAAATTTTCCACCATTTGATATTTTATCACCGGAAAAACTGAGCATTTTTCGAATACTTGGATTTGGTGCCATATATTGTAAACATGGTCGTGTTAAACAATCACGACAATTAATATGAACAATAGCATGACAATCAGAACAATAAGAATATGTTGAATAGAAACCAATTGGAATTGAACAAACTGTACATGGTAATGTTTTGAATGCTTTTCTTTCCGAAAATCGATGTGGTCGTGAATCAAGACGATCAGGTTCCAATTTTGTTGATTGATTTCGAATAAGATTCACTTTACGTGGCATTGGTTGCGGTCGATGTTGTTGACCAAGTTGTAGTCGATGATTATCCGGTGTTTCAGATGTCGAACGTATTTTCATTACAGTAAATTTTGATTTCAATGATTTCGGCTGTTTAGTTTCGTTTTCCATATCATCATTTACTTCGATTATTGGTTCGAAATGATTTTTTGTTTGGATTTGAGTTGATTCCAAACCATCATCAGATTTATCGAATAAAATACTATCTGTATCAGTATCATTACCGCTACTTGATTGTTCTTCAATATTATCAATCTTTATCGATGCAAAACGATCGTTCATCGATGTTGATGTTTGATTATCAACATTGACAACATCTTTTTGTTGTTGATCATCAACTAATGATCGTAATAAATTTAATGTTTTTTTCATTACATTAAATTCTTTTTGTAATTCATCTTTTGCTTTCAATTCATTGGTCAATGTTCGTTTTAATGATTCTAATCGAATATTTAGACGATGTATTTCTTCACGTTGTTTACCAATTGTTTTATCACGTTCACGTATTGTATCCAATGATTCGGCCCAATTTTTTCGACATTCTTCAAAATTCTTAACCAATGTTATAATTTCTATGTTTTTTTAAAAAGAATATGGATTAAGTAAAAGCATTTTTGTCTCATTAATACTTACTATTCAGTTCGTTGAAATCGACCAAATTTGCCGAATTCGAATATCTAGTCATGTCATCATACATTGTCATAGGTGATAATTTTATGGCAGATGGTGGAAGCGGTGGCGGTAACTGTTTCGGTACTGAACGCTTTGTCAAATTTTTCGATGACATTTCGATAATCGATGATGATGATGATGGTAATGAAGATTGTTCGATAATTGGATTCGAATGGAATATTGCAACAGGTTTCCGTTGATTACATCTAACACGGATACTTATTTACGGCCAAAACAAAGACCAAAAAAAACCGAAAAACGATTAGATAAATGTTTTCGAGGCAAAAAAAAAACAGACCAATCAACAAAAAAGAAAAAATTGACAACGACAAAAAACAAATTTCGAAATAAATAATAAATGATGACTATTTTAATGACAACGAGTAACAATGTCTATTTCAACTCAAATAGTCAAATCGAAACAAAATTCGAATCGAATGTTTTTTTTGTTTTGTTTCAGAAAAAACTTACCTCGAATGATATGATGGATAATACATCTTTTTTGGGTGTTTTACTTCCCTGAATTTTTTTCTGTTTTGTTTATCGAATCTAAAATAATCATTAAATGAAAAATATTTTATTAAAATTGAATTTTCGTTTGCAACATCAGCATGTATCATCATTGGATTGATTGATTGATTTGATTCAATTTTATTTTTTGGCTGTGAACCGGAATTGGATTTAAAGCAAAGAAAAAAAATGTTTTACCGATTGGAATCATCATTTTGTTTTGTTTTAGATGATGGATAATGGTTTTACAAGCGAAAAACAATCAACAACAAAAAGAAACCATTAGTGTCATTCATTCATCATAACGATTGATTGAATCAAAACATCATTTGTCAAAACGAAAAATTCCATCTTTTACGAAATGAACGGAAGAAAACAAAAAAAAAATCATTTCATCCACTTTAATTTCGCTTTCGTGTATCTCCGACAGATACATATCTAATGATTGGGCAGTTCTCGTTTTTTATTCATTTTGTTGATCTCTGCGGTTATTATTGCCATTAACAAACGAAAATTTGATAAATGTTAAGAAAAAAAAATTATTTCACGGGAACAACAACAACAACAACAATGTCGATTACGATATATTTATTTTAATGACAATAAGATTTATTAATGGTAATGGTGGTTACAACTTCCTATTATTCCATCTTATTATCTTATCGTCGAAACGAAAACAAAAAAAAATCGATTGTAAATTTATCTGTCTCCGCTTGTGTTCTTTTGGGCATCATTAAACCAAATTTTTGGAAATAATTTTTCATCATCAACAGAAGCAGCAGCAAACTGGATCAACTTTTTTTGAATTGAAAATTTTGCAATTTTTAAAAATGAAAAAACAAACGAAAATTTGTTTGTTACACGCAACAACAACTGAATGAAACGAAAGATTCATTACATTTTCAAAACATCAAGAAAAACAAACAAAAAGAAAAATTATGCAAATTAATCGCGTATAATTAATTAAGTTTCTCTCTCTGTGTGTGAATTGAATTTAAATGGATTTTTTCATCATTTCATTTTTTTTTGAATTTCTTATCTTTGCTTTTTATCTTGATGATGATTATTTTTGAATATTTTTTTTTATATAAAAAAATATGTTAAGTAATAAATGGATTTGCGGTCGCCAAGATGATGATGATGCTGGGCTAAAATTAACTTTTTTGTCAGCGATAGCAAAAATGAATGGATTTTTTCAATTTTAAAATCTTTTTTTGTTATCAGATTTTTTTCTGGACAAAAATCTTTGAAAAACCCAAGAAAAATGAAAAAGAAACTTTCATTGAAATCATCCAAAAAAACTTGGTTCAATTGTTTTTCGAATCAAATCAATCAATCGATCGATCGACGATTGCTGATTGCTTACCTTTTCTTTGGATCAAAATAGTGATAAAATGATATCGATAAAATCGATAAAATGATGATGTTAAAATAGCCGAATAATGAATCAGTTTGTTCTTTTCAGATTGGTCAAAATCAATCGCTTAAGATCAATCAAATTTTTTGTGAAAAATAGATGCGACACTTTTGAAATCACCCAAGAAAAAAATTAGTTATGCAAATTATGATTTTGAATGAATTGAATAAATCAAAACGACGATAATCGTCAACCAGCAAAGACAAATTTCGTTGATAAATAATGTTCACCAAAATCCACACATCACATTAAACAAACACAAATCGATTATGACGATAGCTTGGGTAGAAATTGAAATTTATTTATTTGTCCAAAATCAAATGAAAGAAAAACCCGTTATTTACCGGTTTTTTTTGTAAAAACGGTAAGTGTTTTTTTTTGCAAGAGAAAGTTTTCAAAGAGAGATCCATAGATTACACAGGTATTTTCTCTTTCCATTACACACAGGGTTAACTGGTTATCAAACTTTTTTAAAATTTTTGATGATTCAAATCTTGGATGACCCAAAGATGATGATCATCAGCAAAAAAAAAGAAAAAAGAAAAAGTTATTTTTGATAACCGAAAATGAAGATGAAAATCTATTTTAAAGAAATTTTTTTTATCTTTTTTTTCAGATCTGTGTTTGGTGATGGTTCATCCATAAATATGGTTTTTTTCATTATTTAAATCACCTAAGCATCTTCATCACCCGAAAAAAAGAGAGAGGGAGAGAGTGAGTGACAGTTTCTGCCTTTTAAAAACTTTGTCCTAGATTTTGTCCGATAAAATTGATAATTTTTCTCCCCCCCGAAAAGAAAATCGATCGATATCGATCGATTTTTTTTTGAAAGAAAATTCATTGCATGTCGATCCAAATCAAATTTTTTATGTAAATTATCATTATCGTTGTTGTTGTTTTTCCAATTCGATGATCGATGACCTATGGTCACGATTTTGATCTAGAAAAAAAAAGAAAAAATTATTAGCAATGAAAAAAACAAACGAAAATCATAAAAACACGCACAGCATCGAAAATAATGAGCCGGTAGCCAAGAAAAATTTCTTACAAGATTTCACTAATTTCATTTTCGTTTCGATTTTTTTAATCGATAAAAATTATCGAAAAAAAACGTGTATTGAATATGATTTCACTTTTTGACTATTTTGACTTGACTTGGTCAGAAATTGAAATTTTTTTTTTTGGAAAAATGAAAATTTCATAATCTCATTTGCATTTTCGTTTCTTCTTATCATTAATTTCATTACATAATCGTCGTGTTGAATGAATAAATATTACCCGGCTACTGTGGATTTAGATATCGATGATCGATCGATCGATTGATTGATTTTATAAACTTTCAAGCAAATCCGGCTTAGATGCGACTATTTTAACCAAATACAAACGAATATCTGCAAAACAATAGGTTCGTTTTGTGTTTAAATAGCAAACACACCTGGCTTGTTATATTAACCACCGATTACCATCATCATGGCCAATCATTAACTTCCTCAAATGTGAATGATAAATAACACCATCATTGAACTTTTTGCCAAACACCTGAGAATTTTCAAACACCTGAAAACATTTGAATTTTACATTTTTTTAAAAAAGGTAAATATTAGCACTATACCTTTTTGGTGGAGGGGAGGGTTTATTATTATTTCAGTGGAAAAAATCAAAAATTCATTCCTTTCGATTATGATGATGATGACCTTTATTTCATAACCATCATTATTCACCTTTAACCTTTTTTTTGTTGCACATCACCTGTTGACCTTTTTCTTCTTCCTTTCCTTTCTCTTGAAAAAAAAGTAAACTTTTTGATTCGCTTCATATCAATCAAGAAGCCAAAAGATCATTGATCTTCAAACGATCATCATTTTAAATCAAATCAATTCTATGACTTTTGTCCTTTATTTTGCTAAATAAAGATCATTTCTATGGTTGGATGTTTCGAATTATTATTATTCACCCAAAACTGATGAATAAATTCTCTGGCAAATCAAATATTTATCAAATGTCATCATCTTTTTTTTTTGTTTCTCATAGGTCACCTGAAAGAAATAAAATTTAAATGAATAAAAAAAACGATATTTAAATTTACCTGGTGTGCAGAAGGTCATTGAAACCATGTTTATGTTTGTTTTCTTTTTTTTGGTTTGTTCGTTTTCATTGAAGAATTCTTCATTAATTCAATGAATGAATTTTCAGGTAGGTTGGGTGTGTGTGAAAGTTTACCTTTTTTTTCACTCGAACAATCAACCAACCAACCAAACGAATTTGTTTCTCACATCATCATCATAGATGATGATGACGGTTTGACATTTGAACCACGATGGCCTTGGCCATCGTCATTATTATCAGCATCAAGACGACGGAACTAAAAAAAAAAGAAAAAATTAAACCGTCAAATGAAACCAAACCGACCGATTTACTTATTTGCAACAAGTTTAATTCGAATGTTTGTTTTTTTCTTCGAAACAGTCATGCGCTGCCACTAGTTGCTAATATTGAAAAGCAAATCACACAATACGATAAACCACTACAATTTTCTGTTTCCAATAATGCTGCTACTACTAATTTTGATAAAAATCATCCAAGTTAATTTCCATACCACTACTTTATCATCTACTATCGCGATAATATCGATATTATTTTTTGAATCGAATGTTAAGACGTGATGAGAAAAGTGAGGGCAAAAAAGAGAGAAACGCGTTATTTCCATCATTCAAAAATTGCGTCTGTTTACAACAGTTTTTTCCTTTTTTTTCATTCAAAAATCAAAACTACCACCATTTTTTTCTAATGGAAAAAGTGATCAGAGAGAGAGAGAGATGGATTGACTGACTGTGAGAGAAGCCCAGGCCGAGGTCCAAATGTGAGAACTGAGAGAGAGTGGATCCAAAAAAAAAAAATTTTCATTGCGAAAAAAAAATTAAACATTTTTTTTCTTTCTTTTTTAACACATTCAATCCGTAGATGTAAATGTGTAAACAACACACACACACACAGACAAAGTTTAAGTTTTCGGTTTGTGTTTTTCGTTTTTTCGTTTTGTTTGTTGTGAATGCATGTTTGTCGTCGATTCTGTTATCATCATTATCATTATCATTATCGATGTCGGATGTGTTCATCATGTTCATCATCATTATCATCATGATTTGATTTCTTTTCGTTCGAGCTTAGTACATTTATATCGTGACTTTTTTCTTGTTATTTTAGAATTTTTTTTTCTGGAAATTGAAAAATTTTTCCACTTTTCATCCAAAATCATTACATGATTATTGTTGACAATCATCACCAATTCCGGACATAACAACAACCCAGAGTTGAAATAGTTTTTGGTTTTTTTTCGACCAACATGTTTATGTAATAAAAAAAAATATAGTGATTTCAATGTTCAAAACATATTTTGTAAGCAATTTCGAAATTCTTTGCATTTTTTTCTTATTTATTCCAGAATATTTTTTTCTTCTTTCATTCATTTTGGATTCTATTTTTAGTTTGAAAAATTCTTTACTGTGTCAGTCTACCGAGCAGAATTCAAATCGGCAACAAATTTCATCTCCATCATCATCATCATTTCGTTGAAAATTTTCTATTTAAGACGAGTGTAATTCATCCAAAGTCTTTCTATGTTTATATTTGGTGTGAAGAATATCTTTATTAGTTAGTTTTTTACAGTAGAAATTAGAAATTTTGAATTGTTGAATAATAAACAAATGTTTTTTTTTCTTCGAATATCTTTTTGGAAGAAAGTTTTGCACTCTATGCACACATCATAAACATATAAACAAGGAAATTGAAAACCATTTTATTTTCGAAAGAAAACAAAGAATCATTGTTTTAAAAGATCATCTTCATTGCATCTTTGTTTCTAATCCCAGAAAGAATTTATTCTTTTGTTTTGTTTTGTTTGATATGAACCGAACCGAAAATATTGCCATCACACTATTAGTGTTGATATAGAATCGAACGTTTTCGATTCGAATGTTTTGAATTTCATCATCATCTGAGTTACGTTTGAATTTCGTTGTTTTTTTGAATTTCAACGTTTTTTCAACGATTTTTTTGTTTTGTTTCACTCAACAAGACAAGAGAAAAAATATTTTGAAGAAACTAAAATACTAATAATAATAATAATAATTTCATTCATCCAGCAAAAACTTTTCAAAAGTCAGGTATGTAAACTTTGAAATTTTCTCTGATCTTGATCTTTTGCTTTTTTTAAAAAATGTATGTTTGTTTTGTTTTGTTTTTGAAAAAATTTAATGTCAATCAAAATATTCTCCTTGTAATTTTTTTTAAATAAACGGATGCTTGTACATTGTTTTCTTTACACACACCCGATAAATAAATAAATAAGATTCGATCACAAATGACAATGACAATGAGCTAAATAAATCATAAATTTTTCAGTAAGAAAACAAACCCTTATTGTCTTTTATTGTTTTTTCGTAGAAAAAAATACGGATCTTTATTTTCGTTTCGCTTCGTTTCGTTTTGTTTATTTATGATAATGATATCTGAATGTTTATTATACTTTATTATCATTGTCGCATCTTGTGAAATATCCAAATTTTTTTATATCATCTTACCATTTTTCACTATATTCATTTTTTAATGATCAGCAAGTACACAAACAGTGTTTTTGTTTAATGTAAATTTTTGTTTGTTTTAGAAAAAATATCAGTCCAGTGTGTTTGTGTCATGAATCTTTTTTATTTCAAGGATAAATGTATGACGATCGCGCATTCTTTATTTATGCGTTTTGTTTAATTTATGAATATAATTAGCGTTTTTTTTCAAATGCTGGTTCCGGTTTTTAGTTTCGAATGAAAAAAAATCTGGTTGGCCATCTGCCATCCATGTTGTTGTTGTTGTTGTTGATAATCAAAGTTTTTTTCCATTATGTTTTGTATATTTTGACGTACGTATTTCACCACATGATTATGATTATTGATGACGTAATCGCATATTTTGCGTTTTTAAAAACAACAAAAACAACAACAAATGTCAAGTTTGAGATCCTTATTAATAAATAGAAAATTGGATCGATTCTTAATGGATTTTTGATGATTTAACCAGAAAAATAAATAAATTCCACTCGAGTGTAGTAGTGATAATGATAATTATTATGGGAAATAATAATAAAAATTTTTGTGTTTTTTTAAATAAAATTTTTTTTATTTACAAAAACAATAACCAATTGTAATGGTATATTACAATCATTGTTTGTAATGTATGCTTTGATGATGGATGATGATGATGATTATAATGATTTTGATATGTGCTTTCCATTTTTTTTTTTTTTTTTTTGAACAGGATCTACGTATCAATTTTTTATTTATTTATTTCATTTCATTACAATGATTGACTGACGGACTTTTTTTGGTTGTTTCTGTCAAATCATTACCATTATTATTATTATTTCATGTTTTTTTTTATTTGACTAAAATAATAATAATAACGTCAAACAATTGAAACAAAGCAAAATTTAAAAAAATCCATAAACAATGTAAACAATAATTTATGTCAATGGTAGTAGATGTAGAATGTCAACAACAACAACAAAATCAACAATTGATGACAACCAATCCATATGATGACTGATTGATGGATGGATTGATAGTTGAATGACAATCTAGAAAATTATAATCATCATATGATAATGATAATGACATTACCTTTTTTCACATTCTAAAATTCCTAGAATTCATACATGAATGATGACAATGAAAATTTCACAATTTTTACCTGGTCATCATCATCATATTGGAACCTAAACATATAGCGAAATCATTCTTTTTTCCTTTCCTATTTATATGTTGCAATCATCATCAAAAACAATGATAAATAATTTAACCATAAAAAGTTTTACATTTTTTTGGCTGTTGTTGTAGGTGTTTTTTTACCTATTGTTATCAATTTTATTTCTGTGTGTGTGATTTTTGTCTCTCTCTGTGTATTATTATAATTTCAATCATTATCCAAAAAAAAGAAAAAGAAAAACATTCAAACATGGTGATTGAAATAATCATAATGTAATAATTATATAAACAAAATGAATGTTTTGAGATGTTTGGAACAGATTTACAAAATGAAAAACTATGACTGTGTTATAGAAAAAACGTGATTTTTTTTCTTCACTGCTTAACCGGAGATCGTGATTTTGTTGTTGTCGAATCTTTTTTTTCTTATCAAACAAACACTCTTGTCATTCAAAATTTTTCAATCATTCGGTTTTTTGTTTTGTTTTTGTTTTGCATAATTCATTTGATCAAAAAAAGGGGAAAAACGTGTTTAAACATCAATGTTTTTCAATAACATCTTGATTCATTATCATTTTGAAGATTATTTTGTCTTTTTAATCTCTTTGTTGTTGTTATTGTTGTTATTGTCTTTTTTCTGTTAATCTGGATTTGGATTTGTTGTTGTCTTTGCTTACTATTTGTGTGTGTGTGTTATGAATAAACTTGACCTTTGTTTGTTTGTTTGTTTGTCTGTGTCTTTGTTGGATTCGAATATCATGATTTTGTATTGTTGATGAAACAACGAAACAATTTCCATAAATGTCCAAATGAGATTTTTTTGGGATTATGTTTTTTTTCTGTGAATTATGTTGCTCAATCCACCCACTCATTGATTCCAAAAAAAACAAAATATATGTAACATTTGAAAAGAATCCAAATGAATGTTTTTGTATTTTCTTTTTTCGAAATCAAGCCAGTTAAAATGAATGAATGAAATGAAATGATGGATCTATGTTTGTTTGTAACTGGGTAAAAAAGGTAAAAGAGCAAAGCAACCCTTTTTACACTTTTGATCATCAATTTTTTTGTTTTTGTTTTTTTGAACAGAATGATGAATGACATTTTTTTGTTTCGCTTACCAATGTTTTGATAACATTACTAGAAACGAAACATAGGAAGGGTCATCATCATCGTGATCATCGACAAACCCCTTTTTCTTATCTTGTTTTACGAAGAATTTTTTCATTCTTCAACAACCAACGATGATGATGATTGCACTTCATGAAATTTTCCAATTGGAAAAAGAAAAACAATTTTTAACCCTATCCAACCTTATCTCGAGAGAAAAAAAATAGATAACATTCTTTTTTTTTATACTGGGTAACTAGCGTTTATAATTCTCTCATAAGATGATGGTTGTTGTTGTTGTTGTTTTTTTCACATTATAAATTCCTCATTTTCGACCAAAAAAAGAAAAAAACTCGACAAATCTTGATGGTGTTTATCTCACTCAATTTGTTTTTCGAAATTTTACAAAAAAAAATTTGTTTTCCCATACAAAATTTTGATTATGGCATTCTTGCTTTGCTTTGAACATTCTTTGCAGAAGAAAAAGATTCATTCGTTATGTGATGTTGATGTGATTTGATGCTTGATGATGATGATCAAACACGGAAGCTTTTTTTCTTTGTATGTTTGTATTTGGTATTTGGTTTGTTAATTTGTTTCTCTGTTTCTTGTTTTTTCATTGTTTTAAATCAAAAATGAATGAATGAATCAAATTTGAAACAATTTCTTCCTGTTATAGATAATGAATGAATGAATGAAATTCTCAATTTTTTTCGTCCATCATTTTCGATTCAATCAATTAGTTAATCAATCAGTGAAACAATCTTCTTCTTTGATCGATCATTGAAAATTGGCCCAGATATTTTTTCTTGGAAGAAATTGACTTCCTTTTTTTTCTTCTATTAGATTTGCTAAATGATGCTAGATGAAGGTAAGATGTGTGCATGCACAAACACACTTGATTTTGTGGTTTCCATAATATTTACCTTTTAGCAATTAATTTTTTTTTTCATTTCTCCTGTTTGTGAATGTGTTTACCTTGAAAAAAAATGTTTCCTGTCTTTTTCGATTAGGGTCGAGGTCGATTGATGATGATGATGATGATGGTAATGTCTACCCTTTTTTCAATTCATTTCTTTAAAAAGAAAAAATAGACTTAAGGAAGCTCTATTCATACATAGGTAAATTGTAGATATATTTTTTAACCAACTTTAATGATTTGAAAAATATACCTACCTGCCTACATACCTGTTGAACTACCTACACATTATATATCATCATCATCATCTACATCACAATAAAGATTTATGTTTTTTTTTCGGCTGGCATAACATTTTTTATTCAATGTTGTTGATGATGATGACTTATATTGATGTTAATGATGATAATGGTAATCGATCGATCGATCAATTGATCGAATGGAAAATGGATTCCCCCTTTTTTTTAAATCAACTCGCTCTATATAGACAAATAAGTAGCAATAGTAGTCCCGTTATCAAAAACAGTGATAATCGATTTCGATTTAACCAATATCATTGACCTCATCATCATCATCATCATCATTATCCTCAACATCGTTGATGGATTTTTGAAACAAATTTTTTTTCCATGTCACTTACTAAACGGACTATAACTTGATTGAATTATCATTTTGTTTGTTGTTGTTGTTGTATGGTTATTATTTGAATGTTTTTTCGCATTTCCATGTTGAAAAAAATCATTCATGTCCTAATCCATTTATCATCATAATCATAATCATCATTTTAGTTTCGGAGAAAAAAATGACATTTTTTTGTATGATGATGATTTGTTTGATGAATGAAAATGTATTTTTTTAATTCAATAAAAAAAAAATTCTCATGTCATACATGCATCATCATCATTTTCGAAGGTGGATGTTGTATGTATAATGGCCACCATGATAGTCAAATTTATTTATTTGAATGAAAAAAAAATTCGCAAAATTACATCAAGACTGAGTGAGGTCATCACCTTTGAATAAAGATTATGATGATGATGATGATGACCTTTTACATTTTAAATTCAAATCGCCTACGTTGTTTTGATGATGATAATGTTGAAAAATTCGTTTTTCCGAATTATTCAATGTTAAAATTTGACAATTGATTTTTTTGGTTTGGATTGGATACCCTCAATCATTGTGTGTGGGTGATGGCAAGAATGCGAAAAAAATAAGCCAAAAATCATGTTTTGTTTTGTTTGATTTCAATTGAATGAGAAATGTATTTTAGTTTTTTCTGGTTTTTGAAATTTGATATGTAATCATTATTTTGGTTTCATCCGAAAAGAAAAATAACAATGTTAAATGATGTGTGCCATTTGAAGTGAACATGTGTCATTTTTGTTTTGTGCCTTGTATTTTTATATGTTTCACATATGTAGTGTCCGGAAACGATAATATCCGGTTGGTCGGTCTATTTATCAATTTTTTTTTCTTCATATTTTAATCGATTGATCGATTGATCTGATCTGGTCAGATTGGATTATTTAAAATTTCTTCCTGGATCATATTTTGAACATTGTTTGTGTGTTTTATGTAGATTTTTTTTCACTATCAATGAATAGATTTTATTTAAAATTTTTTGGCAATTTCCGGATATTGGTTTTTTTTGAAGGGGGTTTTGTTTTCCATAGAAAAAAATTTCTAATTGAATTTAGCTCCTGGTTATTTTATTTTAGTTTTTTTGAAACCGATGAAACCGAGGGTATACCTAGTTTTTTATTTTGATTGATTGATTGATTTACCAAAAAAAATACATTGGAATGCAGAAAATTAGCATATTTTTATTATTATGATGATCCATTTTTATAGCCAAAAAATAAATGTATATCAAATATGAGTTTAATGATGATGATGATGATAAGGGGATTATATATTTGAAGATTGAATGACATTTTTATCTCTCTTTGTTTTTATTTTTTTCATTCTGGTTTAATGTTGTTGTTGTTTTTGTTCAACACGCCAAGAACCATTAAAAAATGATGATGATGAGTGGAAAAATCATTAAAATATGAACAGAAAAAATATGAATGATTTTTTATTGTTCAAAAATGAAATTCTCTTTCAAAGACATCGACTTTGACTTTTAAAGAATTTATAGAATTGCAAATTTTTGTGTGTGTAATATGTTTTGATCTATTTTTTTTGTGACTAACATTTTTCTTTTCTTTTTTTTTTTTGTTGTTTTTTCAGGATTTTTTTCCAGCCCGACTAAATCAATCAATCACATCTACATTTGCCTTTCTGATATCCAACAACAACAAACAAACAAACCAACCGACGACAATATGCAACCAAAACAAGGCCTATTACAGGCAGAAAATTCCTGTATAAGTGATGAACAATTAAATCAAATTATTCGTCGTAATGAATCGATTGAAGATTATTATCATATTGAACGGGAAGTTTTTGCACGGTAAGTTTTTTCCGAAATTTTTTTCACATTTTAATCCAATTCATGTTTGATAAAACATCTGCTTATTTTGCTTTTAAACCATTTGTTTCATGGATCAATTATCTTTCTTTGAGCACATTGAATACAAACATAATGGACACGTGTTTTCTATCTATGGACATCTGTTTTTTTTTCAAATTTCGGATATGGTCGCGTGTCATTTTCGATTTTTTTGAAGTTTCAACTCGATGACCATATGGTCATATGGTTGTGTTTAGGGTTTTTTCGTTCTTTTTGTTTTGTTTCAGCGAGAAAAAATTTCCGTATACCATATGACCTTTTTTTTCTTTTTTGTTTATTTGTTTTGTCAATCTTTTTATTTTCTTCTTCCTTTAACACATTTCTCAATTGAGATAGCCTTGAACATTTGATTATTTATTTAAGTTTCTTTCTTTTTCAACATTAAATCTGCATTTTCTTTTTTGTTTGTCAATTTTCCTGTTATGAGGAAAAAGTTTACTTTGAAAAAAAACAGTTAAAATTACAATGCCTAATGGATTATTCGAATGATAATAACATGGTTTTCTATCAACCCTTTAACATTCTTTCGCTCGCTCTCTCTCCACATCTCCCCTGTTGTGAATTAAGATTTCAAATCACATCATCATCATATACGTGAGATGCATATCTTGACAGGTTTCGGTTTCTTTTATTAACTTTTCCTTTTTTTCCAGCTATAGAAAAACATTTACTAATTCATTTATCACATTTACACACACACGTGTTATTTTAACTTGAAATCAAAGACTGAAATTGAATAAAGAAAACAACGTGTTATTGTTTTTTGTTGTTGAAACAACAAGAATCCTTCAATCATGATTATTATCATCAACAATTTTTGATCGAAATATTCTAAATCTTTTTTTCTGCTATTTTTAAGCTTCTGTTTTTTTTCTCTGCTGCTGCTACTTTGTCTTATTAATTTCCAATGTTGAATTGATCAGGTTAATTATTGCTGTTGTTGTTGGTCAGGCAAAAAAAGAAAAAATCGTGATTGTTTTCAACTAATTTTTGACCACAATTTCCTTGGATTGTTATTCGTGATTCATATTTTAGTATCACCTTGAACAGAAGCAGCAGCAGCAGTAGAAAAAACTTAACGGTACAATAATTGATTGATCGATTATCGATTCGTTTGAATCCAATCCAATCTTGCTCTATATTTGTAAAACACATTTTCTTTCAGACAGCATAAGCCAACAGGATTTACAAATGTGAAACACTTTTTTGTGGCTTTGCTCAATGATGATGATGATTCAAATCTTTTTTCATTTCTTTCATTCAATCCAATATAAAATGAATCAATGGAAAGTGATGTTTTCATTTGGTTTATGTGTGTGTAGGCGTTTTTGTGTGTGCAAAAGTTAGAATTTTCCGATTAGTCTATGCATCATGAGTCACGCTGTTTTTTTTGAATGGAAAGTCAAAGAAGAAAATCTTAAACAACAAACATGGCTTGTTAAAGAAGTTTGTTGTGGAAAGCAGAGCAGATAAGATTTTCTGGTCAAAAAAAAATCTTCTTTTAACAAGAATTTTTTTTATTATCGACGTCCATCATCGATGTTATGAATACAAAGATTATTATTTTGGATTTTTTTCTGAACTATTTTGCTTTGTTCACGTTTTTTCTCTTGTTGTTGTTGTTGAAATAGTCTAATTTTGGAACCTAAAAAAACAACAAATTACATCATTGTATGATGATAATGTTTAAATCCACTGTTATAGAAGATAATCCACTAAAATGATGATGATGATGATCGTAGGTGGTAGTGGTGTTTTGGAGATATAGTTTTGATTTCAAATGAAATGGAAATTGAATCATCATTATTCAAATGGGAAACGGAAATTCATCGTGTGTATAAGTAAACGGGTTAAACTGGTTGATTGGTTTGATGATGGTATTTATATAATGAATGATTCGAGGTGTGTATGTGTTTTGAGTGTTAGTTTGTTTGTTTGGTGAGAAGAAATGAAAAAAATTTGATGCAAAAGTCACGTATATCACGAATAATATTGATGTTGATGATGAAGATGATGATGAATCGTGCTACTGTTTTTGTTGTTGTTGTTATATGGTTATGATGATGATAAACAGCATAAAATGTTGTGGATAATGATGGAAATTTCTGATGTTTTTTTTTCAATCTTATTGTCGCTGTTGTTAATCGATTTGATTTGATATGATGGTCGATACAGTTATTGTTATTGACCATCGAACAATCGATTGTTATAATCGATCAATTAATTTTCATTTCTTTTTTTTCTCTCGCAAAGATAATTACATCCTCATCATTCAACATCATTTGAACTATATTGATTTAGCATCATCAAAGAAAAATCAAAAGAATCAAATCAAACAATGGGGTAAAAGAAATCGAGGTCAAATTAGAATTGAATTTTTAACATCTCATCTCAGACATGATGAATACAGCGAGAGAGAGAGAGAGAGAGAGAGAGAGAGAGAGAAAAAAAAGGTTAAAGTGATAAATTCTTTCTTTCATTTGTTTGTTTGTAGAAACTTATTCATTTATTTGCTCTAATGTCTATGTGTGTGAGTGTGTATGTTTTAGGTGTAACCCTTCATTCATTTATTTGTTTGTTTGTCTGTTTTATCCGATTAAACAACATTAGATCAAATGATATATCAATCTGATGATGTTTTCGTTGTTGTTGATTTTTCCGGATTATTCACCGATGATGATGATAGGTGTTGAAAAAAAAGAATTGTAAAATATCATCATCTTTGATCTTGGATAATAAAATTATTTTAGAAAAAAACTTTGGTTTGGTTTGATTTGATGAATCGAGGTCAGGATTTTTTTGTTTGTTTGTCTTTCTTGGATGTTAATGGATTCTTTTTTTTCTGTTTGGCTTGATTTTAAAATCTTTTTTTTTTGCTTTACAAATAGACGCAAATGATGAAATTGTCTTAATATAATCGCTAAAATAATGTCTAGCATTTTAGAATGTTTTTTCCACCCCAAACGAAAGAAATCTTGTACGGAAGCTTGTCCATCTCATTTATCTTTTATTTTTCTGTGTTTTTTTTTCTCCTAAAGATTATTGTTGAAATAAAGATAATTGTCCAGTCAAGTCAAGTCAGTCACTGTGTTTGTGATTGATCAAATTTTTGTTTGTTTGTCAGCTTGTAAAATGCTTTTCTCTGTAAGTATGTAGGTGTGGTAAATGTATCCCAAAAGAATAATGATAATAATAATGATGATTACAGAAGGTTTATATCCTGTATTTTTTCGGTGTATTTTCCAGCGTGATTTACAATTATCATCATCATCATTGGATGACAAGAATCAAAATTGATTAATTGATTGATTTTACATTTAATTAAATCAAATCAAATCAATAATTAAGATATTTTCTTAGGAAAGAATTTTTTTGGCTAATGATGGTGTTTGGTTGGTAACCAAAAAGTTTTGATTGATGATTCTCCTTTCCTTCCATTTTTATTGAAAAAATTGATTGAATTGAAATTGTGGATAACTTTGATTTAAAAAAATGACCTCGATTTTTGTTTTGTTTACCGGCAAGTTTTCCCAAGATGCGCGCCGGGAAACTCTACAGAAAAACAACAACAGATCTAATTTTAGGGTGAAAAAAATAAAAAAATTTTCCAATTCACTTCATGGATGAATGAAATGAAGAAAAAAAATTGAAGGCCAAGAGAACTTTGTTTTTTTCGATCATCATCATCATCATCATGGTCAATGATGGTCATCATCAAAATAATGACCACCACCACCACCACCGATGGCCATTATGGTTTTACCGTTGCTGTTTTTGCTGATGATGATCCAAGAACCAATTTCATTTCATTTTTCTCTCGAAATAAAATGAAAAATCCAAAGATAGTAACATTAAGACAAGATGTAAGAAGTGTGTGTGTGTTTTGAATGATGAGAAAATTTAAAATTTAAATTTTTTTTTCATTGCTTCTTTTTGTAGTTTTACTTATTTATAGCCTGTGTCTGTTTTTTGGCTGAAAAGGGTTTGTTGTTTGTGGTGATGATGATGATTATGAGTGGTGGTGGTGATGGGAGATTTTTTATTTTCTAAATTGATTTACCTTGATTTTGAAAACTAAAAATATATCTGTTGCGTAATGTTTTCTGTTTTCTATGTCAAGTGAAATTATTATCATTAAAAAAAATTGCTGATAATTGAAAGTAAGTGGTTAAAATGGTAATGTTTCAAGTGATAATAATCATCATCATCATCAGATCATATTACCATAAGCCAAGTTTGAATATGTTTTTGGAAATGACTTTTGATTTGATTTTTTTGACTTGACTTGATAAAAAAATCCATGTTTTGCAATCAATTTGATGATAATTTGGGTGATGTAAAAATTTAATATTTTTTTCTTGTTTTGTTTGATTATAAACGTTGACAACCAAATTTTTCAAATGATGTTGATGATGTTATATTGAAAATTTTAAAAAAATTTTGTCCCAGATTTTTTCCCCTTGCTCCATATCGATATTTGAAATTGATTTCGTTCATGTTTGTATCATTGTTATCACGATATTGCTATTGGCTATATTGAATTTAAAAAAAAATTGATTATAATGATTTTCTTAAATTCACAAAAAAACAACAACAACAATCTGATTTTGTAATGTGATTCAATATCTGATTCAAATAATGTGTTGACAAATGATAATTGATTTACTGAAGGAAACCTAAGGATTTTCCAATGATAAATCATTTAAATTAAACTTTTGTTTTTTAAAAAACCCCGATATTTAAAAAACCTTGAACTTTATTTTTTTTTTCTTCTATAAAATTGACCGATAAATTGAAAAACATTAAGGTTATTTTTAACTAACAATAATAATAATTATGATGATGATAATTATTTTCGACAATTTTCAAGGTTAAAATTAATCAACAAACAACAACAAGAAAACATAATGATGATGATAATTACCGGTCGGCCGGACACA